TATATATTGCAAAACTCTTAATGTAGAACACCACATTAGATATTGACGCCATTTTGAATAATGTAAGCGTACACATATTGAAACTAATTAATTGGCATACATTCTATAAACGTATTAGAAGTAACACAGAGACTTTTGAAATAACTTTAAAAGAGTATTAACGATCAGGTTTTTAGCTAAGTATTTAAAATCATATCAGTTTCTATGTTTCCATTAATAAAACATATACATGTACATATAAAGACTACTGAAGACGAAATTACAAATAGTATAACACTTTTGAATAGAAATTTTATCAAACACTATGGAAAAGTAAGAAGTTTATTGTGCGTCGGTGGTTCAGCAGTAGGGTGCTGGCCGACGATGCATTTGGTCCGGGATTCGAGTCTCGGCCGGGACACACACCTTTCGCTTCCTTAGCCGGTTATGATACCGATAGAAAGGGAAGGTTGGGCGTGAGGTTAGCAACCTCACCTCTTAAAAAACGCGACTACTTCTGAACTTTAAAAGCTCTAACTTGTAGCTCTATGTTCCACTGAGAACGGCACTACTGACTCCACTCAATACAGTTCTAAATCTATAAATCATATGATATTACAACCAATAAGGCGCAACATTATAGCATTAAGTACTCACAAATAATTTAAATTGGCTTCCAAACTAACTGGTGTGAATTCCCCTGAGAAGAAGGAAATATATCATAGGGGATTAATTGGTCTTTATTAACCTTATTCAGTAGTTGTACTGTGGTGAGAAGAGCTGGCTGTTAGCCAAAGTTGGTAGACAGTAATTTACATCGATGTTTATGTCCCCAATATTGTTCGTGAGAAACATGAGAAGAAAAGCTTGGCGTAGGCGGATGCAGCTAACATATATGATCCGACATTCAAAAAACAGTCACAAAGAGATGCAAGGTTAACTTTCTGTGACTAGGCTATAATAATGTATGTGAAATTTATATAAATACGTGTTGATTTCCGTAATAAAATGATCTGTTGCCTGGCCCTTGTCTTCTGTTGTTACAGTAGTAACAATTTCCATATTTCTGGTATGAGTCATTGATTCCTATTACATGTTTTAGGTGTAGATTATTCGATGAACAAAGATTCAGTAATCAACCTCAGTATCCATTTATCTATATTACTTCTTAGAATTTTGACTCTATCCCATCTAATTGTGTGGTCGTGTGTCAATGCATCCAGTGCTGTTGCTGAGCTTTTTTCTAAATTACTTATCTTCGCGGGTGGGGTCAATTATTTTAACCTTAGCTAAATTCTTATATTCCGACAATCTGACTACTAGTTTGATGTATGTAGTTGACCTTACTCACATCATTGGAAGGTATTTTGTAAATTATATTATTTTATCTAATTGGGTCAACTGGGTCCTTTGAACTACAGCGGTTGTGCCTGGATGAGTTTGTAGGCTGAAATTCCATCCTAATTACTGCTTTATTAAGAATCCTACGTAGGATTTCACATGTCCCCTACTTATATGGTATAACAGCAGATGCCTTATATTCCCTCTTATTTATGTTATCACTATGAGTTTCACTGTAATTTTTATTTTGACCTTTTTTGATATTCCTGATGAATTTTATTATTTAACACTAACGCCTCTTCTATCTGTTTCATTTCATCGATAAGGTCCTTTCTTGTACTACTTAGTGCTATTGCTCGATTTGTTAGACACTTAACTAAGCCTGTCATTACAGACAACGGATGAGGTTTATTTTACAATCTAACATCATAGCTAATTCTCCTTGTTCATTTTCCGATTCAAATGTGAATTTTATTCCTTCTACTAGTAAGTTTATATGCGTCAGGAAGCTAGAGATATGTTCTGCTTTTACACTGTGAAAATGTTATCCACATATCTTTGGAGTAGGATTAATTGTATTAAGAGCACTATTTTCCCAGCTGTTCATAAAGATATCTGCTACAATAGGGGATATTGGTGGTCCCATGGCTACAGCATCTGTTTGTCCGTTTAAATATTTTGTCCTGGGATCTATAGATAGTAGATGTGAGGCAGAAATAATTCCTTAAATAATTTCTTCAGTGGGCAGCTTTGACCTATGGCTCTCTTTCAACTGCTTCTAAAGCCATATTGATGATTCGTAGATTAGTATACAGACTAGTTATATCCTAACTAAACTTCTTTTTTCATCATTCTCCAATTGAATATCTTAAATCTCTTACTCTTCTTTCATATTACAGTAAAGCTGATGACTACAATAGTTCAATTACAATATCCTATCGTCTGTCGATAGTTCCTTGACCTGCAAAAGGTTCATTAGCCGTCACCACATAGGAGGAAGAAGACGTTCCGATTCATTTCGCAGCCGATGCTCTTACAAACTCCACCCTGTAAAACTAAATACCACAGCTGCTGGAACTTCACTAGGACCAGAAGAAATCAGAACAAAGATAATAGAAATCCATGCAAACTTGCCACGTTTTCTTCGCGCCTGAGGCCTTGGCTATTCATGACTTGAATTCAGACCTTTGTGTACAAAATAATTATGTACAATCTCTACTTCTGCTTTGGTCATTGAAGGGTAGACATTTATTTATTTTTTTATTTAGTCATTCTATGTACCTTTCCCTTTACCATTCTCACTCTCAATTGTTTGCCCTTGTTCCACTTATCATTCTAAATCCAAAATTATTATTTTTTAACAGAATGGATACTGAACAAACAATACTGCTTTCGATAACTTCATCATTAGTCTCTACAGTTACATATACATAATAGTAGTGAATGAATTAGTGTTATCAGCAACAATAATATTGTTTAATTAATATCGAATCAATAAAAATATCAATGGATTACAGTTCGATAGCATCAACATTAAATAAGCTGAATGTCAGAAAAATTAGGAGAGATAATATTACAAATTCATGAATTAATAGTCTCCACTGAAGACCAGCCAGGGCAGTAGTAGTGGCTAGACATGCTTCCTTTGCACACAAAGCATTGGGTGTTTCACGCGACAGCCTCTGCTGTTTGGAGCATGCGGTGCTTCGATGTTTTCGGCAACATATTAAGCACCCGATAGACGATAGAGAAAGATTCTTCAATGTTGGCTTTGTGGCCGGTTTGCACCAGATGGTCCAATATCGAACTGTTGATGGTTTTCACTACACCTTTACTTGGCCATGCTGGGAAATGTTCTCGAGCACGAAAAATCAAGTTCCTAGACCAACGACCGATATAACCGGCTCCACCACAAGCGCAGTTGAACTGGTAGATACAATTGGAAGTGGCTAGTCTAGTCTAGGTACTTCATTCTTCAATCGAAGAATCACCATCGGTAGTGTAGAGAATAAGACGTTTGGTTCGTCAGCTTTAAAAGTTCTTTGAACTTATCAAATTTCACACCATGTTATGCAACATTTTACATTCGCCTAATAATCCTATAATTATGCACTCATTTTGAAACATCTATACACCTTATGTATTATTCTATATATATGACAGTGATTGTTTTGCTACTTGACATATAACTTTAATTATAATCACAAATATTTTAATTGTATTTCATAGTATTATTTCAGACTTTGAGAAGGCCTTCGACAGCGTTGACCGCGAAGCAATTTGGAAACTACTCGAGTACTACGGTGTACCCCATACTTTCATCAACCTTACTCAACAGCTGTACGACAACGGAACATGTCAAGTCATCCACAACGCAAAACCCAGAGAGGCGTATGGAGTAAACACAAGAGTCAGACAAGGGTGCTTATTATCTTCAATGAATTCTATTCCTAACTGTGGTGGACTGACTGGATTATGCGTCAAACAGTGAGTGGGAAACGAAGAACGGGACAGGGATATCCTGGACCGACGTGAAGAACCTAGAAGACCTGGATTTTGCGGTCGGATGATTTATGTTTGATGTCACACAAAATCGAAAACTCACAAGCGAAAACCGACAAACTGGTCGAAGAAGCAGCCGGTGAAGACAGAACTCCAAGTGAACATACACAAGACGGAGGTTATGAAAATAACCAACCAACAACAACAACAGCAACATCCGGAGCCAATCACCATCAACGGGAGGGATTTGAAAGAGGTTAGTTACTTCATTCACTTATCTAGGGAGCATTGTCTCAACTACAGCCAGTCGGAACGGACGAGGATGTCAAATCGAACGAGAATCGGGAAGGCGAGAAACACATTCATCAATCAACCTGAAACCAATCTGGAAATCTTCGTCACTCAGCCAGCATCAACAACAAAATTCAGTCGGATTTTCAATACAAACGTCAAGTCAGTTAGTTCTTCTAGACGGATCAGAAACTTGGCGGGTGAGTCACAAAGAATATTTCCAACAGCCTGTTGCAGACCTTTATCAACAACTAACTGTCTTCGCTGGCTCTATACTGAAGATCAGATGGCCGGGCTGGAAACAATCACCAACAAGAAACTATGGCTGGGAACAAACAAAACAAGAACCAATCGCCACCCAAAAAATATGTAGGCGAAAGTGGAGATGGACACTCGCTGAGGAGGCAGGCGGCTGGGCGACATCGCGCGCGCGTCAGGCCATTGCTCGAGTGGAACCAGGCCGAAAGGGAAGCATGCGGTGAGTGGGACGTCAGTGCAAGGGTGGGTGACATGGAGGAGATCGTGTGAAGAGAGAGGAGTTGAAACAGTATGGACTAACATAGATGCAAGTGGAAAGTACAGGAGAAGGAAGACAGAAGCAAGTGGAGAAATGCAGCTGAAGCCCTATGTTCCACTAGGAATCCAAGTGAACAATAATAATAAATAGTATTAGTATTTCTTCTGTTCACGCCTTTGATCTAATTCCCTCACCAGATATACTATCTTAAAGAAACCATATGTATAAGATTGTACAGCTTGATAATAAATTCGTTGTCGAAAAGAGTCTCTTCGTTGAATATTGTGTACTTAATGCTACAATAGGAAATGTAGAACTACAAGCATTTATTCTTCAACATCTTTTTACACCAAAACACACAACAAAAGAATCCTTTTCTAGATTTCACTGTATTGTATTAAATTATTTATTTATTTATTCAAATCGACATTTAATTTCATAATAACAGTAATTAGCAATAATAATAGTAATAATAATAATAGTCTCTGAAGTTGATTATTACTAACTTGTGTATACGATACAAATATGTAATGTTTATACATAGGTATATTTTTTGTAAAACAATGAGAGAGACAAACCAACCGAAATAAACAACAGAGAGAGAGTGCGTGTGTGTGTGTGTTACAATATTGTAACCAGTTTCACTAAACCAGATCAATTCTCTGACCGTGAAACACATTGTAACACACACGGAAAGGATACAACTCACTCTATAAAGCATGCCATCATCGCCATCATTACCATGAGTTGTTTGTTTACCTTGTTTTTGTGACTCAGTCAATTCGAGTCAAGGTGAGTTGAGTTGAGCAGGAATTTTGTTTTCTGAATTACTACAACAACAACAACAACTGCTAGTACTACTTGTCTCATGTACGATAGATAGATGCACAAAATAAGCAGGCAGAAAGAAGCTGAAGATTCTTGTGTTCTGCCCCAAATCACAACATAGATGTGAATGGATGATCTACAGTGGTGCTTTCTTTTTGACTTGTTATAAAACAAAAAACAAACAAGGGGGTGAGATTTCTGCGGAAATTCGAAAATCGCGCAGGCACCCGCACACACACAATACAATAGGTAGTTTACGCAACATAGTACGGTCACATCAACTGAGCAGAACGACAAAGACTGATATACATACAAATACACGCAGAAACAGAAAGGGATTTTGAGTAACTTTCGACGAGAAAACGTCATGCCTCTTTCAAAAATAGTAACTTTATATATGTGAATAAATACAAAAACTAAACAGAACAAATGATAAACCATGGAAGGTAGAAATTACATGAATGAATAAGGAAAGAAAGAAAGCAACGAAGAAAGAGAGAGAGAGAGAAACGGGGGGAATTGATTTAATTCAAATAAAAACCAATCTCTTTTGTTGCTTGTAACAGCCGTGTACGTAACTCTTTCTCTGATTGATATTCTGGTAGCTTTAAGTAATGTACACACGTGTTAACACTAGGATATGGCCCGCTGTTTGTCACTTCTTTACGTACTATTCTCAAACGTGGATGAAGATTTTTTAAACCACCCGGTGGAAGACTAGAACAACCAGTTGTAAATTGTAAAAAGGCGCGTCGTTCAGCTAGATTGAAATTACTCAATACATTGATTAACATTTGATAGGTTGGTGATTGTTTAGTAAAGCCTAGACTTGGTACTGTATAAGCGAGTAGATCTTCACGTGTCCACTGGGCAACTGAATCACCAGAGATTAATTGGCCTAATTCTGTTCCAGTGAATAAGGCTAACCAACGTAATGGGAGAACACGTTGAAAACCATCTAAAAAAGGAAGAATGAACGAATGTGCGATTATTGATAAATTGGGTTTATATATATATATATATATATATATATATATATATATATATATATTGATGCAATTTATACTACTCTAATAAGGAACCTTCATTATCCCAACCAAGGATAGGACTCAATGCCTCGCAGTGTGATAGCTGCTCAAGCACTTACGTCTCCCCTACAAAACATTAAGTCGTCTACAAATGATTTAGTATCCTCACGCTCATACTACAACTAGATATGGTGTCGACCGCTACACCCCGAAATTCGGAACATAGTTTATGGTCATCGCTCTGGCGTAACACCAGACCTAATAAACCTAGCCGAACACACGGTTCTCACCTTCATTATCCTCCAATAAGTTCGGAAATCTTCTGAACTATACTCAGCATAAAAAAAACAAAATTCGGATTTTCAAAACCAACACTGAGTCAATTCTCTTGCGCGGGTCCAAAATTAATTATAATTATATTTCAGTAGTTTATGCATAATGGTAAGTACAGAAATTGACCTAAGAGTCATTTAAAGCAGTTCCCACAGTTCATTGTAGACGTTTTATCAACAGTTGCCACCTTCGCTGACTCCATCAGACTGAAGACCAGAAGGCAGTAAGGAGCTATGGCAACCGATAACTTATTGCTTAACAAATATTTCACAGAAAATGGAGATGGGTCGGGGACACACAAGGTCATCGCTTCAATAGAATCCCAATGAGAAACGACGAGTTGGATGTGGGTCCGAGGGTGACATGGAGCAGATCGTTTGGCGAGGAGAGATAAAAGAATATGGGCAGTCATGGGGCCCGTTGAAGAGGACTGCAGAGAACAGGATAAAACGGAGAATCGCTGTTGAAGCCCTATGTTCCAATTAATTGTTTTTGTTCCTAATGGAGTCTGTAGTGACTCAACCTTACACGAGTAAAGATTAATATTTCTGTCATGTATGTACATATATATTTTTACGAGTTGATCACGGATTGATATCAGCTAGAGAAACATTCAAAACCAGCTACAGGGAGTACTGGACAGCTGTTTCATCCTAGTGCTTGGGAATCATCGGCAGTACGCTCACACTGGGATTCGAATCCAGGACCTTCCGGTTACAAGGCGAGGCAAGCTCGTATACCATTCAGCCACTGGGACTCGATTCAATGGCTTTTGAATTCTAACTTCTACCGATTCGTGATTTAGCTCGACCCCATACATATATAACAGACAACTACCTTAGACCGACTCACCTCATCAATCAAAAGTCAGTTCCTCTTCTCTTAATTCAGTATAATTAAGATTGACAGAAGAAGGTTCAGCAGACAGTAATAAATTATCTCTATTCACATAACGATTAGGCACCACCTCTAATGATTACAGTAACATTTCAATTCAATAAAACTATTCGGTTCACAATAGCGATAGCCAGATAACTTCGGTAATAACGTAAATCCTGAAGACATCGTTCTAACTTGCCTAGCAAGCAAATTACGTTATGACATAGTACAAACCTATAGACTAGGCATGATAAATTAACTTGTCTAATATTTAAATTAGTCAATACACCACTATCACGCAACGATTATAAAACAACAATAAGTAAATAAAAGAGGAAGGGGGAGAATGAATAAAAAGTCATCCAGGAAGGGAGCAAGTATATTTCACCAGGTTAAACGACATTCATCGCATTACAGTTAGAAAGGGAAGAAGAAAGAAGAAAATCGCTGCATGATCACAATTGATAACTGAGTTTCTTCACCATATCTGATCACATTTCGAGACATCGATTCGAACTATCCCCGACCAAGAAGTCATGATGATGCACCAATCAATGCGTATCTAACAGAAGTATCCTTCATCCCACGATGCAACGACGTCACCTCTCTCCACTTTTATCATCGAATTCAAGGACTAAAGAACAGAGATGGCATTCGCAGCATATGTCCAAGCCACCGAAGCCGGTGTTTCCAGATGATAATAATAATAACAGTAGCTTTATTCCAAACAATACTTTTAATACAAATACAGAGTCCTCAACATACAAAAATACAATACAGATGAACAATCACGCTATGAAACAACTCTGTTACAATCATGTACTAACCATGAAGCACATATGGCAAAATGAAATCGACGCCTCGGACTTCAAACATCATCATCACCATACACTATGAATCCTTCCAGGCAATTTAGGCAAGAACTGGAAGGCAGTTAAGATTGTCACCACAATATAGCATAAATGAGCAGTATGACCAGGTAAACCTATTGATTTTCTATAGTTTGGTTTGTAAGGGTTAGTCTTGTTTTTACAAGTTGATCACAGATTGACATCGGTTAAAGAACTATTGAAAAATCACGAATTGGTAAAAGTTAGAATTCATGGACTAGCCATTGAATCAGGTCCCAGAGGCTGAATGGTATACGAGCTTGCCTCGCCTTGTAACCGGAAGGTCCTGGGTTCGAATCCCAGTGTGAGCGTACTGCCGATGATTCCCAAGCACCAGGATGAAACAGCAGCTGTCCAGTACTCCCTGTAGCTGGTTTTCAATGGTTTTCTAGCTGATATCAATCCATAATCAACTCGTAAAAACAAACCTATTGATATCAACCACCCAAATTTCCTTCAAATGTATACACACACACACACACGTAAGTCATACAACACAATACGAAAAATTTATGTCAAAATAAAATACGACAACACGTGCTTTAGAGCTAGGGAAAAAAATAAACGCATTTCAAGCAATTATTTGGCTCATAATACCTTCAGAAACATTATAATTTTTATATATATATATATATATAAATATGCTGTCAAAGGATTTCGGTATGTCAGACATAAGGCGACAAATTAAAAAAAAAACTACTCAAGTATTTCTTAAAGAAAACGTCAACTACACACACAAATGGAGGGGAGACAGAGGGAGGGAGGGACGGAGGGAGGCAGCAAGAACGAGTGACAGCATATCTTACTTTTTTTCATACTTCGTTTACTATCTCACACAACAACGTACCTAAGGCATGTGTGTGTGTGTATTATTTGGTTAATAAATTCTAATGAATCATACACTCACACACACACAGATGCCAATAATTGACTGACAGATGAGTGCATAGAATATTTGATTATTCGAAAATTGTTATTTGCAGTAGAACTAATCTTCTTCTTCTGCTTGTTGCTGTTGTCTCACTGCTTCAATAATATACTCACACGTATATCTAAGTGATAGTAACTACATGGTGTGTAATAAGAATAACTTTAAGAAATACTGGTACACACATAGGGGATTAGAGGTTAGAAAAGAGTGTCGGGCACGGGGGGGGGTCATACCGAGACCTGACATGAATTCATCAAGTTTGTGACAGTAGGATTTGAAAAAACAGAAGATGCACTGGATGCAGAACTCCGCCAGGCCTACGGAACAAGCAGGATTTAGGAAAGGCAAATCATGTACTGATCAAATTGCAACGATACGCAGCCTCATCAATAGAATGCCAAGCAAATGCCTATATCTCAACTTCACCAACTTTTAAAAGGTCTTCAACACCGTTGACTGTGAGGTAATTTGGGAACTACTTCAACACAATGGAGTGCATTGCTTTAAATCTGCATCAGCTTCGTTCAACAGCTGGCTCCTTATGACAAGTACACATATCAGGTGATCCACAACAGGAAATTCAGAGAAGGCTTTAAAGTGGAAACAGGAGTAATACAAGGCTGTCTACCACCACCGATGATATTCGACTGAGCATCGGAAGCAAGACGAATGTAGAAGATCTAGACGATTTACATAAACTCGACGACATACGGGCGAAAATTAACAAGTTGACGGAAGAAGCAGCAAAGACAGGATTTCAAGTGAGCATAGAGAAGACGGAGGTGATGAAGATAACCAACCAGCAACAACAAGACACCAGTCAGTAACAACAGGAGGAATTTTAAAGAGGTTACTTCCTTCACTTATCCAAACCAAGCAGCATCATTTCGACTATAGGCGACAGAACCCATGAGGATGTGACAACCACAATTGGAAAGGTGAGGGAAACCTCCATCACTCTGGAATCAATGTAAACTACAAAAAAATTCGGATTTTCAACACTAATGTTAAATCAGTCAGTCAATTCTTCTATATGAGTCAGAAAGGTGGTCCATGTGTCAGTAAAAGCACTGAAGACTTCTACCAACAATTGTCTTCTCTGACCGGCTAAAGAGAACTGCCAACAAGAAACGCTGGCAACAAGTCAACCAAAAACCTATTACTCGACAAATATGCAGAATAAAATGGAAATGGATTGGACAAACACTCAGGAGATAGTCGAATGACATCGCGCGCCAGGCCAGCTCTCTAGTGGAACTCAAATGGGAAACGACGAGTTGGTTGTCGGAGTCTGAGGATGATACATGGGCGGGGGGGGGGAAATCGTGTGAAGAGGAAATGAGAGACTATGGGCAGCCCTGAGTCCAGTTGAAGACTACCACAAAGGATAGGACAAATTGGAGCTGTTCTGATGAAGCCCTATGTTCCATTGGGAACGCAAAGGAATAGAACAGAATACTGTTATAACGGCAGTGTCCAGTGACGGACATTTGATTGCATTCACCAATTATTTACTGTTTTACTATTTTGTAACCCTAACTTAAAAATAAAACATTAGTCAATATACAAAAAATAAACGCATTTAAATGGAATAACCCTAGCTTGAGAATATATACATTACCTTTGAAAGCATCCATCTGTTTACGAATACCTTTATCTAAACAAAAGGCTAAAGTTAGTTCTAAATACTTTTCGATATTTTGGCTTGAAACAGGAGTTGCCGGCGATTGGCCAGGATCCGTTTTCTTCTCTACTGCTTCTTCTTCTTCTTCTTCTATGGAATCCCTTTCCCATTCGTAATATTCTTTCAATGGATAGGCTGAAAATCCAAAGACCTGAAAAAAATAATAATAAAATAAGATAAACGAAAGGTAATAACAGATATAAAGTTAACCTTTTAAAATTAATGCTGACTGATTTTGAAGAGATCAGTTAATCAGTCACATGAAAGACAATAAATTCAAGCATATCTATAGACCTATACACCAGCACAAAATCAGGGTATATACCGGAATAAATATGAAAAACATATGTGCAAGCGAGTGGGCAATGTTAAGCCTAACAGAACATCGAATAAAGTAGAAGACGAGACACATCACGCCACAATCCACGCGGTTACTGATTTACATCTACCGCCTTATGGTTCTAAAAACCCCAAGATTTCATTCTGTCTGTTTTCGACATAGAACTTTGCACATATGTGAACCAGTTCAAGCCGCCACACTCCCTCCATGTACCACACAAAGCAAGAGAAGAAAGTACAAGAAATGCATAATAGAGACAGTAAACAGAGGTGTGAGACAAAGGAATAGTAATAACGAAGAACAATATAGTTTTATTGAGTATTATAAGTCACAAGGAGTGTATGCATCTGCGCCGGCCATTGAGAACGATTTTGAGCCACATTACCAATTGTTTCCTGTCTTCATTGGTTTTTACCGTCCCGAGGACCCCAATCAGGAAGCCAGTCTACACCTTCCTACATGGCTGGCTTAAACTAACTGTTGTGTATTTCATTGACTGATGCAGCCATGTTTTGGTTTGACCGCCACTAGCTTTTTCCTAGCCTGACCCTATGTCAGCTAACATTTCATTCAAAATTTTCGACTCCTTAATTTGGTACCAAAGGTGTCAGTCTCAAATTTCCTGAATATGAATCTGTATTAGCAGTTTTGCCGGCAAAAGTCATTACGTAAGTCAAAGTTAGTGATTGACAACATCCTGGCAGACCAGATGTATGACAAGTGAAAGTCGGAGGTGGTATGAAAAATGGGACTCTCCGATGAACGACTCATACAACAATTACTACCAGGATATGAGTCAGGTACAAAGAGACCATTTCAACTTCTTCAGCAAGTGCTTCAGCTTCTTGAAGTGTATAAGACTAATGATATTGTTTTGAAGCAGATGTCGTTTCAACGGTTGTCACAAAACACACAACCAATTTCCCCTGGAGCAATTAGGGGAGGGGAAATCAATCGACAAGGCTGTGAAATTGCATCTCGACTAAGATGGTTAGGATATGTGTTACGGATGCCTAGTCATCGATAGCTTTCCCCGACGGGCAATGTTAGCTGACATAGGGTCAGGCTAGGAAAAAGCTAGTGGCGGTCAAACAAAAACATGGCTGCACCAGTCAATGAAATACACAACAGTTAGTTTAAGCCAGCCACGTAGGAAGGTGTAGACTGGCTTCCTGGTTGGCGTCCTCAGGACGGTAAAAACCAATGAAGACAGGAAACAATTGGTGATGTGGCTCAAAATTGTTCTCAATGGTGAGTGCAGTTGCATCCACTCCTTGTGACGTATGATTTCCAATGAAACTGTTTTGTTCTTCGTTATTACTATTCCCTTGTCTCACACCTCTGTCTACTGTCTCTATTATGCATTTCTTGTACTTTCTTCTCTTGCTTTGTGTGGTACATGGAGGGAGTGTGGCGACTTGAACTGGTTCACATATGTGCAAAAATCTATGTCAAAAAGAGACAGACAGACAGGGGAGATAGTACATAAAGTAACGGAAGTACACTACAATGACTCCCTATGTAGCGGTATCTGTACAGGATGACTTCGACTTCATCTACACAGGAGACACCTGACCTATCGGCCATTGCAGCATTGATCACATATATGGAGAACTTCCAACAAGCTACTATTTTAAATATACAAGCACAGCATAGTAAGGTCATGGTCACAACGAAAACGATATTCATCCCCTCAAGGCGGAGGTCTGAAAAGCCTCCTAGAAACTGAGAAGAGTTCAGATCATAGAAATGAAATCAATCAGTGAGGATTCACAGTTACAATAAATTGAGAAAACTTCAACCATGCGAATTCATTTTCCATCCACCATGACTTTAACTCAAGACAGGACTCAGATATTAACCTGGTGACATTTCCATTTGTAATGGCATAATATGTGTACGCAAACTACGCAACTTATCAGTTGTCCATAATGCGCAGAGATAAATAAACAACATAGGGATTATTCATAACACAGTATCGAAGGTCAAGATTTATACACGCAAGCTTATCAAAATAAAAAGAGCTGTTCAGTACACCCTGCTAGTTTTTAATGATCTCTCTCTCTCTCCCTAACTGATACTGATTCGTGACCAAACTTAATTATTGTATTTATAAATTAATCCCGCTCCCCGAAAATCCTGTTAATCTAATCATCAATCTCCAAGTGATTTATGGTTACTGGATGGATTTCCTGAAGGTGCACCAGTGGAGCCCATCATGTCAAGGTGAAGTGGATGCCACCCATCGAAGTCATTGTGGTTGGGAATAGCGCTATATCACGAGTTGAGGGGTCATTTAATTCCTGCTCAAGTGTCTGAATGGTCGCTGGAGCTTGGTCTTGTAATAAGAAGGTTTTGGTTCGACCTCTGGAGGAGTCATGAGTATGCATCACCGAAGAGCCTGAAACTAGGACGAAACAGCTGTTCAGTGCACCCTGCGGGTTTTCAGTGATCTCTCTAACTAATGTTGGTTCACGACGAAACCTATATTGGAATCAGTCCAAATCCTACAAAATCCTATAATCTAAAATTAAAAAAAGTAATTCCATAAGTGATATAAAACAAATCATTATTTTTTACAGATGTTATCATGAGTGTGCCTCCAAAAGTGTCATCATCCGATTAGTGCAGTATGCAGGTAGATATTTACAGATGACTAGACGAGATTTCTCGAAGCAATAAAATCAATTTAATATACACTAGTTCAACACGTATGCTGATGATCTGACTGTTTGCATGCCGGTTACTTCTCCAAAATGAAACTAAGTCAAATGTTAAATACCTTACCTTGGATTGTGTATTTCCTCTGATCTCTCTCGGTATTCGCACATCATGTTAGTCAGTTTCTAGGAAAATATTTCGTTTAACCTTCTACGTACGAAAGTTAAGACAATCTAGTATCACTCAGTCAGATTCTACAGTTACAGTTTGTTAATTATTGTATCCCGTCTAACCTCCTTTCCTGCTCCCCCTTAATCTTTCCCAGACTCCTTAAGAAAGACCTTTGTTATAGTGAGAAGGGCACTAAAAGCTTTCGTCAGTAGGGCGAGTGGGATATCGCTTTAACCAGCTTTTTAATACTGTTGTACACAGACACACGGACTCGTGCAAGAAATAAGAGAATATTATCTTGTCGGACTCTGAGTATCCTCTCTATACACAACTCTCTCTTTAACTGCATCTATCTGATCGAGTAGAACTAGAAGCAACTATAGGAGAATTCATGCTAGAATGATATATCAAGTGAGATAATTATGAAGAAGTTAACAAAATCAGTTCGAAGAACTTTTAATGATGGCGAACTACACGTCTTATTCTCTACACGACCGATGAAGACTCCTCGACTGAAAGATGAAGTACCTGGACTAGACTAGCCACTTCCAATTATATCTACCAATTCAACTGCGCTTGTGGCGGAGCAAGTTATATCGGCCGTTGCTCTGGGAACTCGATTTTTCTTGCTCGCCATGGAACATCTCCCAGCATGGCTAATTAAGGGTGTAGTTAAAACCATCAAAAGTTCGATATTAGACCATCTGGTGCAAACCGGCCACAAAGTCAGCCAGCGTTGAAGAATCCTTCTCTATCATCTACCGGGTGCTAAATAAATTGTCAAAATCACCAAAGTACTGCATGCTCAAAACAGTAGAGGCCATTGCAATTCACTTCAAACAACCAGCGCTCTGTGTGCGAAGGAAAGAAGTCTAGTCAACCAGCCACTACTACTGCCCTAGCCGGCCTTCAGTAGAGACCATAAATTCATGAATTTGTGATATTATCTTTCCTAATTTTTCTGACATTCAGCCTATTTTATGTTGATGCTATTGAGATGTAATCTATCAATATTATTGATTCGATGTTATTTAAACAGCAACATTAATGTTGTTCATAACACTAAGTCATTCATTCATTCACTATAATGATGTGTGTATATATAACAGTAGAGCCTGATGATGAAGTTATGGAAAAGAGTATTCTTTGTTCAGTATTCATTCTTTTGTAAATTTTAATGGGCATTTTTAATCAGTTATAAGCATAAAAACTCTACAATATACCTCATTTGGCAGGCACACATTTTACTTAATAGTCCTTTTTATTCTTCCTATCTCATTATCACTGTATTGTTAATGTTTCCAAATAAATTTCAATTTCACATTCATTATTCTCAAGTATTGATTTCATAGAGATTTAGTTTGATTGGATGGAGGATTTCATCATGAGCTGACATCAGTTAGAGAACCATTGGAAAACCTGCAGGGAGTAGTGGACAGCTGTTTCGTCAACCTAGTTTGAGACTCCTCATCGGTGCGCACCCACCATTAGCATTCGAACACCCAGGACCTTCTGGTTACAAGACGAGCTTGTAGACCATCAAGTCACTGGCATCCGATCCAATGATGGTCCATGAAGTCTAACTTCATATTCTTTTTGAAATATGTTATTAATTTAAATGCGATGTTTATTTATCTCCCCCGTACAGGCATATGGACTCATGTGAAAAATGGGCGAAATCCATTTTATCTGACTCACAACACCCTCTACATTCACAACTCTCCCCATGTATCTCTTCAGTGAAAACAAGAAGCCTATATAGGAAACTATATGCCCGCACTAGTAAGTACAAAAACTCATCCATACCCTACCTAGCCCGTGTTCTGTGCGATAAAGAATGCATCAGGCATGAAACCTTTAACTTATTAAATAGTCAGTAGAACAACTGGATCTCGTCTTTCCAACTCACATCATTTACAGGTACAGCGTTTTCTCTCTACTTTTTTTTTATTCTGTATTTATTTTTGTTATGTGCTGTTTTGTTTCTCTCTTCCTTGCAAACTCTACTTAAAACATTCTTGTTCATTCTTTCACACTCTGTATATCTCGACCATTTTGCTATCGCTTACGGCCAGTAAATATGCTGGTAGTATCTACTTTTCTAACACCTTCAAACACTTTAATTTTGGCTTTGCTACCGACATACTAATATGTTGTTGAGATAACTTTAATCTATGTAGAACTTTATTTATTGTTAATGTAAAAAACTGGATGCAATATTGTAGTAAAATGCTGAGAATTCCATTCTGTATCACAAGTACTGATTTGGAATAAAGCTTATGTTATGTTATGTTATGATATGTACTATGCAAAGAAAAAATTAGATACAATCTTGTACCACATGTTGAGAATTTCACGTTGTATCAGAAGTACTGCTTGGAATAAAGCCATTATTAGCAATATCATTAAACACACCCTATTAGGAATAAATCAATAAATGCATGAATCATAACATGTAATAGGATGATTATATCAGTTACCTTAGAAGGAGGCAGAAACTCCATAGATATGCATAGATCTTCTAGATCACAACCAAAAATCTCATTTGCTAAATGACTAAAATCATCTCCTCGTTGTTGAGTATTCTTTATTATCCTTCGGTATTTACGACAATGAAATTGTGCAATTTGTCGCATGAATTGAGCACGTTCAGGATAAATAAGGCAAAAATCATTTAAATGTAATATACCAGATATCCAGTGTGTTGTTGTTGTTGTAGACTGTTGTAACTGGTTAACAGATTCTTCAGAACACTGATAGAGTCGTTTATATTGAGGGCTGATAAGAAACGATGCCAAATCAAATTCATCACCATCACCCTCAGCATCATAGACCTCATCAGAGCTTGACTTTTTAACAAATTCTGATAACTTTGTAGTAGAAGAACGACGACTGTAGAGAATATTTTGAAAAGCACTTTCAACATCTGAGAGGATAGAAAAGTCGACATTATTCTCTGTTTCACGAACATCTTTACTTGAACAATCTGGAGGATTGACAACACTTTCTAATTTCTTTGAACTGGATATATGATTATCACCATCTTGAACAATACTACCATAGGTTGAAAGAAGTTTCAACAGCGGTGGTGACAAAGGTAAATCGATACGACGATTGTCCTATTAAGGGGGAAAATGATCAACATTAGTAAAGAATAATGTATCACAGAAAAACTTCAAACGATAAGAAAATTATTAGAGTACCAAAGAGTGCCACTGACAACGATTCCGAACCATATCACCAACTGTACCAAGCCATTGATTCTTGGAATTCCGACGACAACAACCAGGAAGTCTAAACCTACCTATGTGGCTGGCTCAAACTAACTGACAGAGAATTCATTGGTTGATCAATGCCAGGTTTTGGTTAGACGACTACTAGCTATTTTCCAACCTCCTCCTTTGTCTGCTAACATTTCGCGTCGAGGAAGGCAATGGCTCTGTCTGTCTGTTTTCGACATAGATTTTTGCACATATGTGAACCAGTTCAAGTCGCTACACTCCCTCCATGTACCACACAAAGCAAGAGAAGAAAGTACAAGAAATGCATAATAGAGACAGTAGACAGAGGTGTGAGACAAAGGAATAGTAATAACGAAGAAAAATATAGTTTCATTGGAAATCACAAGTCACAAGGAGTGTATACATCTGCACTAGCCATTGAGAACAATTTTGAGCCACATCACCAATTGTTTCCAACCATTGGTTTTTACCGTCCCGAAGACCCCAATCAGGAAGCCAGTCTACACCTTCCTACGTGGCTGGCTTAAACTAACTGTTGTGTATTTCATTGACTGGTGCAGCCATGTTTTTGTTTGACCGCCACTAGCTTTTTTCCAGCCTGACCCTACATCCGCTAACATTACTTGTCGAGGAAGGCGATGACTTGGCATACGTAACACATGTCCTAACCATCTCAGTCTTTGTAACTTCACGACTTCGTCGATTGATTTCCCCTCCTTACCTAGAACTCTACGCCTAACTTGAATGTTACTCACCTTATTATGCCACTTTATACGGGAAATAGAGCGCAGGCACCTATGATCAAAGACAGCTAACCAGGCTTTTCATGTCTTCAACTCTCAGTGGCCAGGTCTCGCAGCTATCCATAAAAGAGGACGGAGCAGACTGATGAGCAGTACACCCGCCCTTTGGTCGATATTCAAACATCTCGTCTACGCCAGAGTCGGCGTAAACTGGCAAATGCAAAACGAGCCCCCTGTATCCGTGTTGAGATTTCGTCAGAGATCAACCCGTTGACACTGGCTGATGGTACTCCCCAAATAAGTGAAGCGGTAAACGTGCTCTACCACTTCACTTCCTATTTTTAAACTAGGCGTCGATGTAGTCCAGTCCTGTAACATCATCTTGCATTTGGTGGGAGCGAATCGCATGCCAAACATTTGTAGATTGCAGCTCAAGGTGTTTAGAAGACTCTGCATTTTGTCAGAGTCGTCGCCTAAGAGGACTATATCGTCTGCATATTCTCAGTCAACGAGATTATTCCCTGGTAGCAAGTCAATCCCTGAGTCGCTGAAGTCACCTAGGGTTAAGTCCATTAACACATCTATGATGAAGTTGAATAGAAAAGGGCAATGGCTAGGCATGCGTAACACATGCCCTAACTATCTCAATCGATTCACCTTCACAACGTCATCCACTGACTTTCTTTCCTTACATAACATTCGACACCTAACCTAAGTAATACTCACCCTATTATATAACCTAACACAAGAGGTGGACCGCAGACGCCTGTGATCAAAGACAGCTTCTTTCACCTTCTTTCGAGAAAAAACTGTATGTCAAATGTGATTGTACAGCTAAAGAAAATGAATTCACCGAAAACAGCCTCTTCGTTGAACTACGTGTTTTGTTTTCATTATTGTCTGGATTGAGATAATAATTCATGAATTGAATTCTATCAGTCGAGTTCGCAATGTGACCACATCATGTTAGGTGGTTTGCCATCACTGTGCACTCAGTGATTCTTGTTACTAAGATGGTTACAGGCAAACGGTAGGAAGCCTTGCTTGAAATAGGTTTCTGAGTATACTGTGATGGCGAGCCCCCAAGCCCGCATACTGACGCCATATTGCCAACTTGACTGGTAGAATTCAGTCTCCGCCAAACCAAGGACTAGACATGCATGTCGCTAGTTAGTATCTAATCAAAGTCGTATGAAATACTATAGTTCAGTTTTGAGGAAATCAAAGTTGCTCAGAAAACGTTTTTCAATGCTAACTTATATTCACCGGTCTTCTAACTAATAATATAAAGTTACTATTACTATAGAAAAACGGCACAAATTCTACCTTATAGCGATAAGCGTTGTATTAAACCACATAAAACAGTGCAGAATCAATCACATACCTGTAAACACTTGGCTACTGTGATACCCAGAATGTAGAAACGATGCAGAACAGATTCAGGCACCTGATCTCCTGGCCAAGGAGCCGGGAATAATCCACAAGGTGTGTTCACGTATATACTAGCTTCATCTATATCGTCTGTTTCACAGTCAACTGAATTATAACTGCCAAAACTTGAATCAGTATGCTCTTCTAAAGTCGTCGAACTAGAAATTGTAGGTAGAGCTGGTCGACGATTGTTTGTCTGAGACAGTATGGGGAAATCATCTGTTACCCACATTAAACCATCACGTCGGCGAAGTTCAGCAGCCAAAAGTGAGTAGAATTCTAATGTTGGACCCAAACCAGTACCTTCTTCACCTAGGTCAGAATAATTTTGATAAAAATAAAACACATTCTCAAAATATTAGTTCTGTATGAGTAACTGCTAGCGATCTTGAGAAAACGAATTTAGAATTAACTTACTGAACAGTGAACGCAACTATAGCCGAGTAAGACAATAATAAAAGTTACATGACACTTAAAGTGAAAGATATTAGTTTGTTTATCAAGTAGGGAATTTCTAATCAAAATAACGTTAATCGATGTATAGTGATTAGAGACATTCCTTAGAAGACGCATTAACAAGCACTGGATCAAAAGTGGCCACTTCTGTAAGACTGTATATACATATTATGATTGATCATTGGATCATAGACCCAGTGAGTTATTTTCAATTTATTGAGTTTGTAGGCTTAATTAATCCCAGGTACATCTTTATTTCCATTTCGATTGGTTCCCCATTCTTCATCAGATAGTTTGAACTTGACATCCTTTAACGTAATCAATCATACGGTAAGCTAATAAGAAAACGATTGCATGCTCGTCCATACTGCTGATTAAAGTGAGTAGTGTCTGGTGGTCACATCAAAGTGACGATCATTTCACTCGTTTGAAATCGTCTAGTGTTAGATCACTTGGATCTGGGCTACCAAGCACTACTGTTTGTCGTGACTGGTTTCTAGCTACCCACATATCTATCATCCTATTTTTCTCAAACTTCCTTGATGTATCGCCAATGGTATCATGCAAATCATATGTTGTGAAAAAGCGATGGGTTGAAGTTTGAAGAAAATACCAACAAGACGTACTAAATGAACAAATGTACGTAGAAGTCATAACACAACAAGTAGAAATCACTATCATCAGGCGAAAGCTGAAAGAAGGTTACTTCATTCACTTATCTGACCAGACAGCACATTGTTTCAACTTCAGGTCAGAACACCCATAAGGATGTCAAAACCAGAGGGAATTCGAAAGGGAAGTCAGACCTTTATCAATCTGAAATCATTTGAAAATCTAGTGCATTCAACTGAGCGTAATACACATGATTCGTATTTTTAACACTAATGTTATATCAGTCAGTCTTCCTGTATGGGTCAGAAAATTAACTCACGCGTCACGAAAGACATTTCCTAGGCGCTACAGCAGTCTTTTACCAACCTCTGCCATGCCATTGTTAGCTTCATACTGAGGATCAGATGACCAGCAAGAAATGGCTAACAACAAACAATTTCGAGAGCGAGCTATCCGAAGGGAATGGAGATAATTTGGACACAACACACTGAAGAGACTGTTGAATGATATCGAGCGCCAGGTCAGTCCTAAACAACTATCCTTCTCTATCTGATGTCAGCTCATGATGAATTCCTCCATCCAATCAAATAAAATATAAACTGAGAAAACTAGAGGTTGATTTACAAACGCACACACACACACAGACACACTTACCGATAAATTGAATTTCTAATTCAGATTTACGTGATGCATGTTCTTCCATAAGTCTTGATGCCCAATGCCAAAAAGTTAATTTATCTGACTGATAAGAATAATTAGGTGAAAGCTTTAAAAAATATTTATTCTTCTGTTGTGTTAATAATAATTCATGCGGTAAACGGGGGATACGTACAAATTCTTTGTGCAAACGACCAATATTCGATGTTGATCTATCCTCAGAATTAAATCCTGCACCACTACCACCACCGGCACCTCCATTATTTGGTGTAGTTGTCATTGTTGCACTAGCCAACGATTGGACATTTTGATTAGAATGAATTAATAAACAATTAAGTAGATCACTAGTAGTATTACTATTACTATTATTATTATTGTCTGAGAAGTAGGCATCACAATTTAACGAAGTAACAGCAGGCGGTAGAGATATGCCTAAACTGGTTAAAACAGATTCCAGTGATGAAATATGCTCTGAATTAATGTCAATATTATCGATTTGAGAAATACTATTATTATTATTATTATTACTGCTACTATTAGATGTCCCCCCACTGGTTGCATTCAACAGATGAGTTAATATCGATGGCCGTAAGAGCACATAATCTGTATTCGAATTTGTTGATGCATCTGGTGTATTAGTGTTGTTATTCGTGGTGATGGCGGCGTTATTCAACAGAGCAGAAATTAAAGAAGCATTACCACCACCACCAGCAGATGGTAAAAAGATCCGATAAGATAAACGACCACCACTTGTACTGTTAGCACTACCGGCACGACTAAATGTCTCAGAAAGTGAAGTTGTTGTTGTTCCAGTTGTTCCTGCAGCATAACTACGTTTTTGAAGTGGACGATTTTGAAGCCAAATTGCAGCTCTACATTAAAATATGAAACACACATAAAACAGAAAGAATAATTTGAAAAGCATACACAAAATACTCAGTAACAGCTATTGTTCATTACCATATCAATAATAACCACACAACTTCAAAACTTTCGTTTTATTACGTTTTCTTTATTCCTTCCTATTCGTCGTAAGGGTAACAGAATTTCCCGGATATCCGTGACACGTACCGAACCACTCCTTTTGCATGCATTCTCAGTTGATTCAATGAACAATGCTTCAGTTATCAATCTCTCCTTCAACCCTGCTATATTATACTTAAAGACTATCACCTTATGCCATCATATTGTATGGTTGTCTATAATTGCATACGGTGCTATAGCTGAGCTATTCTAAAGATTTCTTATCTTATTAAGAAGAGTTAATTTAGATTTTGCCAGGGTTTCATGCTTCCTTACAGCAACTGATCCCATCTTTGTACTACGACCTATGACCACACAATCATTTGACGGTACCAGATAAACTATATATATATATATATATATATATATGATTGACCTGCGAGTGGGGCACACAGCTTCAACAGAACATCTCCATTTCATCTTGTTGTCTGCATTCCTCATTCAGCTGGCTCCACATTAGATCAGAGGCTTCCATCTCCTCCTCGCATGATTTCCTTCATGTAAACCTCGGACGCCCAACTCTAGGGCTGGCTTGGCGAACGATATTATTCCACGGTCTCCTAAGCGTGTGTCCAATCCATCTCCACTGTCTTCTGCATATCTTCTGAGTAACAGGTTCGCGGTTGGTTCGTTGATTGTCAGAGTTTCTTGCGTCTAATTCTTTGTAGATGGTCATGTGATTTTCAGTATGGAGATAGAGAAGACAGCCATTGATTAAAGTCTGAAGCTAGTCGTTAGAAATGCTTTGGGTGATGGTCACATCAGGTTTCTGACTCATATAGAAGGAGTGACTGACTGATTTCACAATAGCGTACAAAACCTGAATGTCGTCCTTCACGTTACGTTCAGGAGATTCGCAAACTGATTTCAGAGTGATCAAGGTCAGTCTTGCCTTTCCGATCCTAGCCTGTTTTAACATCCTCATGGGTTCTGTCGACTTTAGTTGAAACAATTCTCCTTAAATAAGCGAAAGAAGTGATTGCTTTCAAGTTTCTTCGATTGATCGTGATCTGTGTCCGGTGTCACTGGTTGGTTATCTTTAGCACCTCATGTTCACTTGAAGTTCAGTCTTCGCTGCCAGACTCTTGATCCAGCTTATTGGTGTTCGCCTAAGTATTTGAATTTATATGTAACATTAGAAATGAGTCTTCTAGGAAGTCTAGATTTTCTAGAGTCTTCTCATCGTTCCAAAGTAGTTTTATTTTCCCACGAACGCTGTTCAACATGATCGAGTCCGCTACAATTAAGAATAACATCGGTAGCAGTAGACAGGCTTATCTTACACCTGTTATCACTTGAAACGCTTCCCTAAGTTCACCAATGTGGTCAACAGAAACTTTATTTATCGATTCAACTGAGAATACGAGCAAAAGGAATGATTTATAACAACTCGCAGCCATCTGGAAAATTCTACCACCCTTACGACAACAAATGGAGAGAACAATGAAAACCAAGTTCCGAAGTTGTGCAACTATACAACTTGATGGACTTGATTATTAACAACAAACTCTAATTAAAATCGAGTTAATAATAAAAACGGGCAGATTTCAAAAATTATAAACAAAAATTTAGCTGGTTAAACCATAAACAAATCAGATAACCATATTTCTTAGTAGCATACACTTTTATACAAAACATTTAAACTACTTACTACTCGATATAAGTAGCACGAAAATAAAACTTAAATAACGGTGAACAGAAAATAAAATAAGAAAAAAAACAACAATTGAAACAGATCTAAAAAGGAAAATATTACTAACCTTCCTGGACCAAATGCACATGAAGTGAATAACTGAGAGCGTGCATCAAATGAAAAGATGACATTGAATCTTTGACTTAGTGATAAACACCAATTTGGTAATGCACCAGATGTCAGTGCCAAAGGATCATGAATTTGACGTAACAGTTTATTTGTTAGCCGACTAGATACAAAATCTTGAATTTTAACTTCTATTGACTCATTCTGATCATTGGCAGGTATATCTCCAAGTGATTTTCTATCTAATAAATCATTCACACCTAATTCATTTGTTTCTTTTAAACCTGACAATTGATACAATAGCTTGATAAGCTGTAAAATATCCTCAGGATTGCTAGGTGGATGAGGTGCATTAATTTCACAGGTTAACAATGAATTATTTATTTTATCAGATACATCATCATAAGCATCGTTACATCCAACGTTCTTATCATCACCAATTATAGGTATATCAATACCAGATGATGTATACTTTATAGGTCGATCAAGAGATGGAGTGAAACGTAAGTCACGTTTGTTTAATAATGCTTGTCCATAAATTGTTCTAATATTTGTCTGTGAAAGAAGAACACATTAAACAGAGTCAACATTCATAAAACTATTATAATAGAGTACTAATGAACAAAGCTTGGAATGGTAGTCACCCCTCTATCTCAACTTTATCAACTTTGAAAGGGCATTCGACAGCGTCGATCGAGAGGTCAACTAGCAACTACTGCGCTACTACTACTGAGTGCCACCAACAATTATACATCTCATCCAACAGTTGTACGACAATGCTGCATGCCAAGTAATCCACAACGGAAAACTCACGGTATCCTTCGGAGTGAAGACGGGAGTAAGACAAGCTGGCTGCCTACTATCGGCAATGATTTTCCTGATTGTGGTAGATTGGGTAATGCGACAGACAGCAGGCAGCGAGGAAACAGGCATAAAATGAACCCTCACGAAAAACTTGTAGGATTTGGACTTCGCCGATGTCATATATGTGTCCGATTTCCCAGAAACTGGAAGATGTGCAAGTGAAAAGCAATAAGTTGGCAGAAGGAGCATCAAAGATAGGACTTCAGGTGAACATAGAGTAGCCAGATGTGATAAAGATTCCTGGCCAACAACAACAACAATAGACAACAATTAGCATAGATGGTAGTAATGTGAAAGTAGCAACTTCCCTTACCTCCCTAATCACTTGGGAAGCATTGTTTCAACTACAGGCGGAACGGACGAGGATATCAAAGCAAGAATCGGAAAAGCAAGACAGGCTTTCATTACTCTCAAGGAAGTCTGTGTGGAGGTCAACAGCACTCTGCATCAAAAATAAGGTACGGATTTTCAGCTCCAAGGTGAACTCAGTCAGTGCTACTATACGGATCAGAGACTTGCACTGCGTGTCATAAGAAGCATCTAAAACAAACTACAAACCTTCATCAACAGTTGTCTTCGCTCAATACTCAAGATCAGATGGCTGGCCAGAAAAGATCAGCAACAAAGATCTCTGGCAATGAGCGAACCAACTAGGAACCGATTGTGAAACAAATAGGCAGGAAGAAATGGAGATAATAATAATATTATTATTATCATTATTTCCTTTGATAATAATAATATTATTATTATTTCCTTTGATTCCTAGAGGAACATAGGGCTTCAGCTGCGCACCTCCATTGCCTTCTGTTTTCTACCAACTTTTTCACCCCACTCCAAGTCTGCCCACATGCTTTCATCTCCTCCTCGCATGACCTCCTCCAAGTCACCCCTGCACTGACGACCAACTCGCCGCTTCCCCTTCGGGTTCCACTCGAGCGATGGCTTGTCTAGTGATGTCACTTGATGGTTTGTTTCCTCAGAGTATGGCCGGCCAATCCATCTCCATTTCTTCCTGCCTATTTGTTTCACAATCGGTTCCTAGTTGGTTCGCTCATTGCCAGAGAACTTTGTTGCTGATCTTTTCTGGCCAGCCATCTGATCTTGAGTATTGAGCGAAGACAACTGTTGATGAAGGTTTGTAGTTTGTTTTAGATGCTCCTTATGACACGCAGTGCAAGTCTCTGATCCGTATAGTAGCACTGACTGAGTTCACCTTGGAGCTGAAAATCCGTACCTTATTTTTGATGCAGAGTGCTGTTGACCTCCACACAGACTTCCTTGAGAGTAATGAAAGCCTGTCTTGCTTTTCCGATTCTTGCTTTGATATCCTCGTCCGTTCCGCCTGTAGTTGAAACGATACTTCCCAGGTAGGTAAGCAAGAAAAAATCTGCCGAACACATGAGATTCCACGCGTTTTTTCTCTTCATTTGGAAAATATAAGTTCATCTTTGTTTTCAATTAGTTACCGATTTATAGATTTAATTAAGTCATCCTATAGAAGGTGAAGATACTCATAAAATGCAGAGTCTTCCGAACACAATGAGCAGTAATCTTTGAATGCTTGGAATACGATTTGCTCCTGTCAAATGTAAGATGATTCTAAAGGACTGGACTGCATCGACCTGCAAGCTTAAAGGCAGTGAAGTGGTAGGGTATACTGATTCAATGGGTTGATTGATGATGAAATTTCAGTACCCATAGAAAAAGCTCGTAGTGGATTCCCAAATCTACGCCATCACATGAGTGAACGTGATATCCGATGTGCTATAGACTAAAGGACGTGTGTGCTGCTCACCACTTCGCACTGTCCTACTTTATACCTGTCAAACATGGCCATTAAAAGCAGAAGACATGAAAAGGTCAACTGTGTCCCATCATAGGTATCTGCGCTCTATCTCTCTTCTTGTTAGGTGGTAGATTAGGGTGAATAATATTAAGGTTATGCGTCTAAGTAAGCGGAAGGGAGGGCGAAAACCAATCGGTAAGGTTATGAAGCTACATCGACTGAGATGGTTAGGACATGTGTTACGAATCCCTAGACATCGCGTCAGACATGAGTTTAACCTGAGACGTCCCTTGATATGGGATCCTCTATATGAGATTCACCACTCAAATCACTTCAACTTTGATCATGGTCTGATATCGTGATGATATCCCGTTGAAAACCAAAGAGTACCGAAAAGCTGTTTCGTCCCAGTTCGGGACTCTTCAATGGTAGTACGAAGCCATGAGTCCACCGAAAGAGATCACGCCAAGGACCTTTAGTTTACGAGGCGAACTGGTTGACCATACCAACCAATCCGATGGCCCATGAATTCTAACTTCTGCCAATACCCGATAACTGTCTATTTTCATGCTGCTTTTGTGATCATTGGGAAATACAGTAAAATTTTCAATTCATTAGGAAATCTACCCATAGAAGGTAAGCTCAATAGTGTTAGAAGAATTTTAAAAAAAAATAAAACTCACTTCATTGTTATAAGCGCTTGCATTCCCGCCAGTGATAGTTGTGAGTGTGTTATTAGTACTGTTCGGTGTAACCGTGTCACCAGCAGGTTGAGTTACACGCTTAACACAATATTCATCATCATTTTTCGCACAGTCATCTTTTGCATCCCAAAATCGATAGCCCAATTTGATAACATAACTATTTTTGCTTTTATCCAATCCATCAACTGATTTAGACAGGCGATATTTACTAGAATCTTCAAGCATTTCAAATTTCTCTGATAATTCCTAAATGTAACATAAATAATTAAAATGAATTGAAAATGAAGGGTAAGAATATTGATGGTTGGCAAATAAATATAGCCTACTCTATCACAGTATACACGGTTAAAACATGCTTCCAGATATATATATATGAGTCACTTCATGACACAAATGCCAGACTCGGTGATATTCTTCAGTCTCCGCACCAACATCGAGGACTTGATGCATAGCATTAGTTACTACTTAGCGTCGTATTAAAGTATCCAATACATTCCCTTAGGGGAGGTTAGTCGCCAGCCCAAATGGCTCAGTGATAACCGCCTCTGAGTACAGCCCAGAAGGCGCAGATAAGTTTTCTCACTGGTGACTACCGACAAGCACGAAACCTAGGTCAACACACAAGGCTTCCTTCTGATTGCCTCTAACCACCATCTCTAGTAGCAACAATTTGCAATGCACTGTGATAGTGAACCGCCTCGTATGCTGGTCACATTGAAAACTTGACTGACAATAGAATTCAGTCTACACCTAAAAATGACTGGACGTATGACACAAGTTAATTACTACCTAGTGCTTCAGCCTTACAGAAGAGTTAACAACAAAGTGTTTATTCAAACACAGACAAATGACTGCAATAATTGACATAATTATATTTAGAGTACAATAAAAGACTTTATAAAAAAAGGAAAACTATTTGATAGAATTAATTCATCAATACTATGTAACTAAATGCTTTTAATTTAATTTTTATAAAGTGATGGCACTTCAGCATTCATTTGAATTGAGTAATGAAATAACCTCTTGAAAGTAAGTGGGCTATGTGTATCTGTGAATACGTTAAATACAGAAAAATGCAGTTGACCAGAGTTCGGTACAACAATTTGATGGATAGTGGATTTAGTAGAGGAGTCAAGGATAAGTACTTCGTCTTATTCGGGATTCATCATCCGGATGTATCTGAAATCCTGAGAGAGTTGACAGTGTTCCCCCCATTGATACCCGACCCCAGTACACATTGTTTTAGAAATCAAGGCGTTTCCCACTAGACGACTTTCAATATAAGTTTGGTATAATGATTACTTCAAATTTGCCCATGGATTGATATCAGTTATAAAATCATTGGAAACCAGGGAATGCTAAACAGCTGTTTCGTCCTAGTTTCACGATCCTCAGAAGTACGCATACAATGGCCTTCGAACCCTAAACCTTATGGTTACAAAGCAAGCTCGTAGACCAGTCAAACTTTAAACAAATCAGATCCCTACAAATTAAATCTTGAAAACTAATATGATGCTCACTAGCGACTGGCTACAGAACAAAGTTACCTGGAGTTCTAGCGAGAAGTCGTGACCAGTGGAATCTATCTGGTCGGGAGTGTGGACAAATACTCGCCAACGACGAGATTGCTGGTTGGTGGTCGCGATGGAATCACGAGTTGGTATAAGCTAGAAATCATCACCCACTACATTGAGTCGCACTGGCTGAACTGTCTACGAGTTTGTCTTGTAACCGAAAGGGTTCATACTACCAAAAGAGTCTTGAACTAGGATGAAACAGCTGTCCAGTACTCCCAGGTTTTCCAATGGTCCTCTAACCGCTGTCAGTTCATGATGAAATCCTGAAAAAGACTTTTAATTTTTCATCATTTATTTATACAATGTTGGGGTGAACTGAAGTCTTTCTTTCTTCTTTCTCCACTTCGGCTATCTCCTACGGGAGATAGTGAACTGAAGTGCATAATCAATGTTGACTGATAGAATTTAGTCTATGCCAACACCAAGAGCTAGGCACATGAAATTAGTTACTCTCTGGTGTCCAATAAAAGTATCCAATACAGTCCTGTCTGTCTGTCTGTTTTCGACATAGAACTTTGCACAAATGTGCGGAAGTTCAAGTCGCCACATTCCGTGTAGCACGCGAAGCAAGAGAAGAAAGTACAAGAAAAGCATAATAGAAACAGTGAGCAGAGGTGTGAGACAAAGGAGTAATAAAGAAATACAAAACAGTTTCATTGAAGATCATAAGTCACAGGGAGTGGATGCATCTGCGCCACTGAGAACGATTTTGAGCCATGTCACCAATTGTTTCCAACCATAGATTTTTACCGTCCCGAGGACCCCAGCCTGGAAGTCTACACCTTCCTACGTGGCTTAGACCAACTGTTGTGGATTTCATTGACTGATGCCAAGTTTTTGTTTGACCGCCGCTAGCTTTTTTCCAGCCTGACCCTATATCCGCTAACATAGCTCGTCGAGGGAGGCGATGGCTTGGCATACGTAACACATGTCCTAACCATCTCAGTCTTTGTAGCTTCACGACTTCGTCGATTGATTTCCCCTGTTTACCTAGAACTCTACGCCTAACCTCCATGTTGCTCACCTTATTATGCCACTTTACACGGGAAATAGAACGCAGGCACCTATGATCAAAGACAGCTAGTCTTTTCATGTCTTCCACTCTCAGTGGCCAGGTCTCACAACCATAAAGGAGGACGGAGCGGACTGATGAGCAGTACACCCGCCCTTTGGTCGATAGTCGAACATCTCGTCTACGCCAGAGTCGGCGTAAACTAACAAATGCGAAACGAGCCCCTTGTATTCGTGCTGAGATTTCGTCAGAGATCAGCCCGTTGGGGCTGATGGTACTTCCCAAATAAGTGAAGCGGTCAACGTGCTCTACCACTTCACTTCCTATTTTTAAACTAGGCGTCGATGTAGTCCAGTCCTGTAACATCATCTTGCATTTGGCGGGAGCGAATCGCATGCCAAACATTCGTAGATTGCGGCTCAAGGTGTTTAGAAGACTCTGCATTTCGTCAGCGTCTTCGCCTAGAAGGACTATATCGTCTGCATATTCCAAGTCAACGAGATTATTCCCCGGTAGCAAGTCAATCCCTGAGTCGCTGAAGTCACCTAGGGTTAAGTCCATTAACACATCTATGATGAAGTTGAATAGAAAAGGAGATAATGGGCATCCTTGACGGACACCACTGGTCGTCATCAGTTCAGATGACAGCTCGCCGTAAGCCCTCACCTGGCTGTATGAGTACGAATAGAGTGCCTTAATCAGTGCAATATATTTTCTTGGAATTCCCTTTACAGCCAAGCATCTCCAGAGAACTTCCCGATCGACAGAGTCGAATGCTGCCTTTAGGTCAAGAAATATAATGACTGTTGGACGCCGGTAGGAATGCCTATGTTCTAGAATCTGTCGGAGGGTGAAGATATGATCAATACACCCTCTTCCTGGTCTAAAGCCTGCCTGGCTCTCTCGTGTTTGTGCTTCCCGAGCACCACTCAGTCTACGCATGATTATTGAGCCTAAGACTTTAGATACTATATTAGTCAAGCTAATCCCTCTGTGATTATCACAGGAAGACTTGTCTCCCTTCTTGTATATGGGGATAATCAGTGACTTACACCAACCCGATGGGACTTCTTCTGATTCCCAGACGCTGCCTAGTACCTCAGTTAATCCGGACAGTAAGCTGTCTCCACCGTACTTAAATACCTCTGGAGTCATTCCATCAGGTCCCGCTGCTTTGCCTAGTTTCAGATTGGTGACAGCTTTAGTAACCTCAGTTAGTGACGGAGGACCTGTGTCTATATCCCATTCAGGGAGGTGTTGGATGCTCGGAAGGTTGAGCGTGGCTGTGGGCAAATTAAACTGCTCCTCATAATGCTCTTTCCAACGATCCAGTCGTCTATCCTGGGGCTAATTATAGTGCCATTTTTTTCCGAGATTGTCTCACTAATGATTTGTCTTCTCCCACCCGTTTCCCTGATGAGTCCAAAGAGTTGCCTGGTGTTGCCTATCCTCAAAGCTTTCTCCATCTCTTTGGCTTTTGTCGCCCACCACTGTTCACGGTCCTTGCGGAGACTTTTCGTAAGTTTCCTCTTGTGCAGCTTTCGCTCCTCATTGAATTCGGAGCTCGCCGGAATAAGTCTTCTAGCATCTATCAGTTCGGATGAGGCGGTGGAGATCCAGTGGTTTTTACTCACCTTTGGGTTTACCTTATTCACAGCTTTTACAGCTGTATCTATGGCTGCCTGGATATTTTTCCAAGCTTCTTCAGGGTGAGCACAGCTGTCGAACACAGATATGTGTTTAGCTAGTTCTTCCTCAAATACGGATTTAGTTTCCTGATCGAGCTGGGGACGTGATGGTTTTACCGCCAGCTGTTTCCTACGTCCGTTCAGTCGTAAGCACACCCGAGCGCGGACCAGTGCATGGTCGGTATCTACGCACGTGTTCCAGAAGGAGCGACAATCTCCTACCGACCCACGCCAACGATAGCTTATTGCTATGTGGTCTATTTGTGTCCAGCGTTGGTTTGATGAAGGGGGTCTCCAAGTCAAACAGTGTCTCTCCTTGTGTTTAAAGTTAGTGCTTACAAGAAACAAATGATTATCAGAGCAGAACTGTAGGAGACGGTCACCGTTGTCGGTTCGCTGGCACGGAGCTCCATAGGTGCCACCGACATCCTTCTCAGATTGACACAATTTCCCTACTTGAGCGTTAAAGTCACCAGCTAGAACGACTATGTCTGAGCGTTTAGCCTTTCCCACCAAACTAGACAGCTTTTGGTAGAACTCATCCTTCGTTTCATCTGAACTGCAGTCAGTGGGGGCGTAGGCGGAGATTACGAAAAGGCATCGGCGAGTAGTGCAGTCCTTCCTCCTTCTTACTGATCCGTTCAGGCGGACAGCACACATTCGGCTATCTACCGGGATCCAGTCAAGCAATGTCTTTTCTGCCCTAGTACTCAAAGCTATCCCTACGCCAGCTAATCCTCGTGAACTAGCTGTGGCATCTCCTGACACCCTCAGGGTGAATTTTGCAGATTCAACCTGTTGGCCAGGTGGGGTTAGGTGAATAACCACACTTGGGTCTTGTATGCGTGTTTCTGAAACACAGCATACATCAATGGCTCGTGATGCCAGGGTCTTGGCTAGTGATGCTTGTTGGCCTAGAGGAAGTCAACTGCGAGTTCGAATAACTAAGTGGTAACGTCTCTCTCTCTCTGACTACACTACTAGGTGAAACGGGTTCGAAACTCAGAGGGGAAATGAGTTCGCTCAGGTTTTCAGATACGCCTTACTGACTAGTGAGTGGCAAAAAGTACGAAACTTAAGTCAAACTAGGCTTCCTAACGACTGCCTCCAACTACCTGATAACAATGTTGAACTCTGCAAGATTAGACAACAAGAACCGCACTTTAGAAAAGCACACATTTAAGCTAGGAAGGCAAATGCAATAAAATAACAACATGGGTAGAATACCACCTTAGGCGATGGGAGAAGACAAATCATTAGTGAGACAATCTCGGAAAAAAATGGCACTATAATTAGCTCACAGGATAGACGACTGGATCGTTGGAAAGAGCATTATGAGGAGCAGTTTAATTTGCCCACAGCCACGCTCAACCTTCCGAGCATCCAACACCTCCCTGAATGGGATATAGATACAGGTCCTCCGTCACTAACTGAGGTTACTAAAGCTGTCACCAATCTGAAACTAGGCAAAGCAGCGGGACCTGATGGAATGACTCCAGAGGTATTTAGGTACGGTGGAGACAGCTTACTGTCCGGATTAACTGAGGTACTAGGCAACGTTTGGGAATCAGAAGAAGTCCCATCGGGTTGGTGTAAGTCACTGATTATCCCCATATACAAGAAGGGAGACAAGTCTTCCTGTGATAATCACAGAGGGATTAGCTTGACTAATATAGTATCTAAAGTCTTAGGCTCAATAATCATGCGTAGACTGAGTGGTGCTCGGGAAGCACAAACACGAGAGAGCCAGGCAGGCTTTAGACCAGGAAGAGGGTGTATTGATCATATCTTCACCCTCCGACAGATTCTAGAACATAGGCATTCCTACCGGCGTCCAACAGTCATTATATTTCTTGACCTAAAGGCAGCATTCGACTCTGTCGATCGGGAAGTTCTCTGGAGATGCTTGGCTGTCAAGGGAATTCCGAGAAAATATATTGCACTGATTAAGGCACTCTATTCGTACTCATACAGCCAGGTGAGGGCTTACGGCGAGCTGTCATCTGAACTGGTGACGACCAGTGGTGTCCGTCAAGGATGCCCATTATCTCCTTTTCTATTCAACTTCATCATAGATGTGTTAATGGACTTAACCCTAGGTGACTTCAGCGATTCAGGGATTGACTTGCTACCTGGGAATAATCTCGTTGACTTGGAATATGCAGACGATATAGTCCTTCTAGGCGAAGACGCTGACGAAATGCAGAGTCTTCTAAACACCTTGAACAGCAATCTACGAATGTTTGGCATGCGATTCGCTCCCGCCAAATGCAAGATGATGTTACAGGACTGGACTACGCTGGCTCCTAGTTTAGAAATAGGAAGTGAAGTGGTAGAGCACGTTGACCGCTTCACTTATTTGGGAAGTACCATCAGCCCCAACGGGCTGATCTCTGACGAAATCTCAGCACGAATACAAGGGGCTCGTTTCGCATTTGTTAGTTTACGCCGACTCTGGCGTAGACGAGATGTTCGACTATCGACCAAAGGGCGGGTGTACTGCTCATCAGTCCGCTCCGTCCTCCTTTATGGTTGTGAGACCTGGCCACTCAGAGTGGAAGACATGAAAAGACTAGCTGTCTTTGATCATAGGTGCCTGCGTTCTATATCCCGTGTAAAGTGGCATAATAAGGTGAGCAACATGGAGGTTAGGCGTAGAGTCCTAGGTAAACAGGGGAAATCAATCGACGAAGTCGTGAAGCTACATCGACTGAGATGGTTAGGACATGTGTTACGTATGCCAAGTCATCGCCTCCCTCGACGAGCAATGTTAGCGGATATAGGGTCAGGCTGGAAAAAAGCTAGCGGCGGTCAAACAAAAACTTGGCATCAGTCAATGAAATCCACAACAGTTGGTCTTAGCCACGTAGGAAGGTGTAGACTTCCAGGCTGGGGTCCTCGGGACGGCAAAAACAAGTGGTTGGAAACAATTGGTGACATGGCTCAAAATCGTTCTCAGTGGCGCAGATGCATCCACTCCCTGTGACTTATGATCTCCAATGAAACTGTTTTGTATTTCTTTATTACTCCTTTGTCTCACACCTCTGCTCACTGTTTCTATTTGCTTTTCTTGTACTTTCTTCTCTTGCTTCGCGTGCTACACGGAATGTGGCGACTTGAACTTCCGCACATTTGTGCAAAGTTCTATGTCGAAAACAGACAGACAGACAGATAGGATAATAATTAGTATTAGAATTTTCTGGATTTGGATTAAAAAAAGAAGTCATTGACTTTTAGCATCTCGAAAGTATTATAACATCATACTGTATCCTATTATATAAGCAGAGGAGCTGGAATACATACATGTTTCATGTTAAGCCTTCCTATCATCCAGAGACTCAGAGAGAATTACGCGAGGATAGTATTCAGTTTTAAAACATGAGGCGAAAAGGCCACACCTTTAAAGGTCAGCGATCCTTCTATTTAAAATATCAAGTCACCTCTGAATTCGTTATTTATGAACACTACACTCTATATTATGAAACTGAAGTAACGGGAGAATACAAGGAACCTAGTAACGCATAGAGCTTCAAGCCAGAGGATTGCAATTTCTGTAGCAGTGGCGATTATTTTTACAGGATGGGGTTGCTAGCCAACCTCATGCCCAACCTTCCCTGTTTACCAGTTTTATTACTGGCTTACCAAGGTAAAGGAGTGAGTCTGTGGTCGGGGATCGAACCCCAGACCACCTGCGTGGTCGGCGAGCACTCTACGGCTGTGCCGCCGACGCGTTCCTTCGCCATTAGAGTTTCGCAACGGTGCAGGAAAAAGCGTAAGACTTTACAACATACGTGTGATAAACAGGTTTATTTCACGACTACATTACAAGTTCTTACAGATATCGACAAAGGAAATACAACAAGTTGTGGTGCTACCTACCTATCCACATCAAATCCACAAAACTGTTGTGAACTGAAATAAAACCGAAATATCTCTAAAATCCTTCCTATTCTATCATCTTACTAGGAACATTATGAAGAGTGTTCACATAAAAAGAAATCCAATCCAAAAAAAATAATAATAAACTTGCCTGAATGTATTTGAATAATGTGGCATTTTTATCACGTAACGGTATCTGAATCAAATATTCAGAATTCATGTAAACACCAAGGAACAAAGACAAACGTGAAGATGAATCTAAAAAATAAATAAACAAAATAGTTTTGCAAAACAATTATTAAATAAATTACTTGTTAAAGAGCAGAGGAACAAACTATTCACGCCAAATATGACACATACATGAGAGAGAAATTAGAATATGATGATACGATTACAATAGAACAGGTGCAGTGAAACTTTGCGGTAGGTAATAAAAGAATAAAATACCGTTTCAATAGCCACACCAACAGATTATTCAAATACCGGGAGAAAACGTTACCACTCCATAGAGGTGATGTGATACGGACAATGGTTCGCAACAGAATTTTACTCTCACTGGAAGAATCATCGTATTTGTTGATGTTAACGTCTGAATATTATTCCCACAGTTCAATAGTGCATTAGTAACAGAATAATACATATATGTATTTGAACATTCTATTTCATGTTGTTTAATGTAAACCAAAATCATACGCTCAGTGACTGGTTAAAGATAATATAAATCGTATAGATATAAATAGCTGTTTGATCACTTGAAAATATACCTTGACTTGGGTGTCATGCCTTCTGCTATTACACCATCACTTACCCAGGTGAGGATCGAATACTACCTCACACTTCTTTATTTCTAGACAGATAGAGTGAGACTCACATATGCGACGTACTGCACTGAAAGTCTAGACCACGTATTGAACACGCCCCCCCCCGCTCAATATACAACCTTTATCTTCTAGTAAAAAATCAAAAAGGTAGTGAGAAATTAGTTATTGACCATGTATCCCTTTTACTGCAATCTAGTCAATCCCTCTAATGGCTGCAATAACTCAGTATGATGCAAAAAATGAAGGTCAGCTGAATAGTGATAAAATGAGAATGAGTGATTTCAAAATACAATCGATTTGAAGGTGTAATCGATCCTACTGTTGACTGTGAAATGATTGCTATGATGTGTTTCACTAAAACGACCAGCACATCAATCACCTGCTATCTTTTATCTTTTAATTACCGAAAGGTAAGAAGTGTATTCCTACAGAAATTCATCGATTCCAGGAAATTTCTACAAACATATAGAGGATGTTTAAAACCTGAGCTACCAAACTACGCCACATTGTATTCCTTATAATATCTCTTGTTCATTTTGTTTTAATCTATTAAAATATGATCTTTAATGGTGTTTTCTACTATCACGAGTACTTAAAATATCTACAACCTACTGATTGATTCCCAAGTCTATACTAAACTTGAGAAAAGGCGAAATATCGTGGTTGGAAACGTGCCCCATTACATGAGATAACTGTTCCTGAGATTTTTAGTAGAAATTGCTGCTCACTGTTTAAGAAATAAAACGAATTACCTTCAGTCTTCAGTGATTCAGCTATTATTACTGATTGGTTTTCAGCCAAGTTATGTGCATTTCTCGAAGGACACAGAGGAGAGATGCCATAAAGAGTATCATAAATGAGACAATAAATGAGACAACAATGTGTCACACGATTTACCGCCAGTAATTATTTCGCTCGAAGATGCTGGACAAAGGGAAACTATTACGCAATAATTTCCGTCCAGTATTCTCAACATAACAAAAACACTGTTCAAAATAAAGCGATTATTATTTTATTATTGAGAAAGAAATGGCACTAATCAATGATCCAATTTCTTCAAAAATACAAACTATAACTTTCTTTTCAAGTTCAGTCTAATTCCTGTTAGGAAGTAGTTTTAGTAAAATAAAATTATCTCCACCTAATAATAATTACAACAATCAACTCTGTGAGGATTAATTTAACCCTTTTATGGAATAAAACAATAACATTTATAATAAAAAGTTAAAGTCCCGCCTAAATGTCAAAGGAACTACCAGAGATACATCATGAAAACATTTAATTGTAGAATTTTATTTGGAGAGCATGATAAACTCGCTAATTAATACACATATATATTATAATAGCTTTATTCTGAACAGTGTTTATGTAGAGAATTTCCAGCGAAAATTGTTGCGTAATAGTTCCCCTTTGTCCACAACCTTCAAGTAAAAGGTAGTAACGGACAGTAAATCCCCTGATACACTGCTGCTGCCACACCTGAAGCGACAAACAAATCCCTTATGATATATTTTCTTTGACTGCCTACTTCGATATATGCACAACATTTGGTCGAAAGCCAATTAAATAAAGATGCAGAACAGAATAAGAATGTTCTTCTATACGGATCAGAAACGTGGCGGGCGGGTCACAAAGAATATTTCCAACAGGCTTTTGCAGACCTTTATCAACAACTGTCTACGCTGGCTCTATACTGAAGATCAGATGGCCAGGTCGGAAAGAAACAAAACAAGAACCAATCGCCAGACAAAAAATATGCAGGAGGTAGAGTGGAGATGGGTTGGACACTCGCTCGCTGAGGAGGCAGGCCGCCGGGTGACATCGCGCGCGCATCAGGCCATTGCTCGAGTGAAACCAGGCCGAAAAGGAAGAGGCGAGTGGGACATCCAAGGATGACATGGAAGAGATCGTGTGAAGTGAAGAGGAGTTGAAACGGTATGGACTAACATGGATGCAGGTGAAAAGTACAGCAGATGGAAGACAGAAACAAGTGGAGACGTGCAGTTGAAACCCTACGTTCCACTAGAAACCCAAGGGAACAATAATAACAATAATGATACAGAATAATAATAGCTGAATAATTGAAGACTGAAGGTAATTGGTTTCATTTCTCAGATAATGAGTAGTAGTTTGTACTGCAAATCTCAGGGACAGCTATCTCATGTAATGGGGCGCGTTTCCACCCGACTTTTCTTTTCCTCATGTTTAGCATAGACTTGGGAATCAGTAGGTTGTAGATATTTTTGATACTCGTGAGTGTAGAAAGCACTATTAGAGGCTGGCATTTCAATAAATTAAAGCAAAGTGAAGAAAGCTAATTATATGCAATATGATGCTGGCGTAGTTTAGTAGCTCAGGTTTTAAACAGACTGTCTTCATTATTGATAGAAACGTTCAGCTTCAACCCCAAACAACAACAAAAAATTACAGGATACAAACAACAATGACCCTTTACATATATATATATATATATATATATATATATATATATGATGCAAATAAGAAGAAACACCCACTAATTGTATATGAATGGGGAAATACCTTTATTTCCTTTAGGGATAATTCACCTTTTATACTGTTTATAGTAAATATACGAAGCTAAACTTTTCAATGTTGTTAAGGCGTTGTGAAAATAATATATAGAATATATTTAGAAAGCTGTGTGCAGCATAGGGCGTTCAAATCATACAGTACTACACCAAAGATCTCAAATACTGCTTCATCTCAGGTTCATAATGATGAAAGTTTCGACTGGAATATGGAGCTCCAAGCACTTTAAGCTCCGAAGTCTCGGTAGCAGTGGTTTTACCAGGCGAACAACCGATTTAGCGACGCTTAGGATTGAGTCAGCTGCGGATTGAACCCCGGACTACGTGTAACGTAGTTGGCGAACATCCTACCGATGAACCACTGACGCACATCATATTTATGGTCAAACTTCAAAAAAGTAAAAACATAAAAACAGTATTAATTAGGAAGCATTGAGTAATAATGAGTAGGATGAGACTCACCTTTAATATTTGTTGTACATTCAGGTTGACTAGACGGAGGATGACATAATACATAAGCTGTAGTACCTGGAGCATTAGTTGACCCCGGATTAGGAATAAATGCAGGAATTAAACCAAGAGGTAAACGGAGAGAATCTATAGCTTCATTCCATGACAAAGGAACAGCAGGACTCCCAGTACATGGTGAACATGAATGACTAGCAGGTGTTTCTCGAGACCCCGAAGAGACTATTGGACGTGGTCTAGGCCGACGAATACGCCGACGAAATGGTTGATGAGTAGAGGATTTCCATGAAGACGACAGACCTGTAGACTGAGAACTATCTAATGATATGTTTACGTTAAGTGAAGAAATTTCATTGTCCTGTTTAGAAAACGGATGAGGTGATTTAGGTAGTTTCTTCTTCTTATCATTATTATCGCCATCAAGAGAACCGCTCGACAATTTATTGTTATTAGGTTGCTGAAACAAAGAAATATATACGGCGAAAAAATTACTGAATAATTTCTTTTGGAACGCATCGGTGCATGAAGGCTGTGCTTTATCAACAAACTATCTATCTGTCTGTTTTCGACATAAAAACTTGCACCGATGTGCACCAGTTCAAGTCACCATACTCCGTGTAGCACACAAAGCAAGAGAAAAAAGTAGAAGAAATGTAAAATAGAGACAGTTAACAGGGGTATGAGACAAAGGAATAGTAATGACGAAGAACAATATAGTTTCATTGGAAATCATACGTCACAAGGAGTGGATGCATCTGCACTCACCATTGAGAACAATTTTGAGCCATATCACCAATTGTTTCCAGCCTTCATTGGTTTTTACCGTCCTGAGGACGCCAATCAGGAAGCCAGTCTACACCTTCCTACGTGGCTTAGACTAACTGTTGTACATTTGATTGGCTGGTGCCATGTTTTGGTTTGACCTCCACTAGCTCTTTTCCAGCCTGACCCTATGTCAACTGACATCGCACGTTGAGGAAGGCGATGGCTAGGCATACGTAACACATGTCGTAACCATCTCAGTCGATGTAGCTTCGCAGCCTCGTTGATTGATTTCCCCTCCTTACCTACCACTCGACAGAAGCTTAACCTCAATATTCCTCACCTTATTATACCACTTGACACGGGAGATAGAGCCCAGGCACCTATGATCAAAGACAGCTAACCAGGCTTTTCATGTCTTCCACTCTCAATGGCCAGGTTTCACTGTGAGCCATAAAGGAGGACGGAGTGGACTACTGAGTAGTACACACGTCTTTTTGTCGATAGCCGGATATCACGTCTACGTCAGTGACGGCGTAAACTGGCGTATGGTACTCAGAAGAAAGTAACGCTTTTTTAATGATACTTTGAAGAAATATCAACCATTACGAAAAGAAGCACAGAAACTAACCACTGAACCTCGTATACAATAAAATCCTGAAGACAAACATTGACTACTTCAGTGTCAGTCTGAATATTCATGTTAGCTTATAGGTAATTAAAGACTTTTCATAAATGAATTCATCAAAACATACGACGGTAAGACATCTGTAACTACCGCAACCGATATGCTGTGGTCTGAAAGCAGGATGCCTATCTATGTATCCAACTGTACAGCTATCCGAAACTCCCTTGAGAAACGCACAGTCAAAAAGCGCTCCAAAGAGAGCAAACAAACGAATATGCATACATAGACCCTATGGATCTATTCAACTATAACATCAAAACGTCAAAATTACCTCAACAGTACCGTTAGACAGGTATACAGACGAGGTAACTTTCTAAGTACGAAACAAGTACTGAAGAATAAAATCAATTAACCAAACCTCAGCTATAAGAATCAAGTGGAACACTCCCAACAAGGTGAGATCAAAAAAAATCACACATCAGAGCCTCTCCCTGTACACAGTCCAATGTCAGAATGACCTTCATTCACTCAATCAAAATCGCAGTCATACAACAAAGCATTATCAATGTATCGCCACATAATCACGAAGAGAAACGTTAAAATAAGCGATGAAACAGGAACGCAAACAAGCAATAAGGATCCCGTCAACATGTGATATCCAAGTATCACAAATATCAACAACCAGATACAGTCTAGAATAAAAGGGATAATAATTGCAAAGTTTGCTGAAACGTCCAAACAAGTACCAATATACTGCAATTGGATCATTCAGAAGGGGTTCTCCAAACAGTTATTCCGTTACACATTATCAAGATGAAATCCTGGAGATAGTGTTATTTTTCTTCATTCTTAACGTTTATTTAGTCAAATACGAACAATTACTATTTACTACTTCTTAGTGTAATCCATTCGTCCACCGATCAAGCGTTAAGGAATAACGATCCGGGATTACGAACGCACTAATGACCTGAAAGGCATACTACTCGTCAGATAACGGGACCTACGATTATTATAGCGCCACTATGAACGCTGTACTACACGAGTTGAGGTGCAAATTTCATCCTGATCTCGATGATGGTGTTGATAGCACGTAAATGCTCTTGTGGTGATTTTATATGTACATTCATCAGTGTTCACGAGCAACTGACATGCATTGAAATGTACACAGTGTAGGGAACGAATAAGTGTTTCAAATAGTAAGTTACAGGCTTAATTCACTCATTACCAGAAAATTTCTTTCCTAATTCGAAGCTATCTGTCATCTAAGTGTTGGTTTGTAGGGACTTGATTGGTTGTAGGATTTCATCATGAGCTGACATTGGTTAGAGAACCATTGGAAAACCTGCAGGGAGTACTGGACAGCTGTTTCGTCCTAGTTTAGGACTCTTTATCGGTACCTTCTGCTTTGTAACCAGGAGGTCCTAGGTTTGAACCCCGGTGGGTGCGTGCTGCCAAAAGTCCTAAATTAGGATGAAATAGCTGTCCAGTACTCCCTGCAGGTTTTCCAGTGGTTCTCTAACCAATGTCAGCTCATAATGAAACTCTATCTGTCATCATTTACAGACTGAGCTGAGGCCCACAGATACAGAGAGACAGAGAATTCGTTGGTATCTACTGTGCAATGGAACCACCGTTGCAGAGATATATACATTGATTGAATACTAGTAACTAGTATGATGTCCTCTGTTTGATGCAGACTGAATCTATCAGTCATGTTTGTAATGTGGCCGCCATTCTAGGTGGCTCGCCATCACGGTGCACGTAACTGTGGTCACCCTAAGGCGAATAATGTTTGGGTATTGGGAATCTGCACCACTAAAACTCGTAAAGGAATTGTGTGAACGAAATTCCACAGTCGTAGTGCAACGACTCTTTTACTAATTATCTAATGGTTAGTAATTCACGGCAGCATAATTCATCCAGGCGAATGGGTCGAATAAAACAGTTCATCCGATTTGGGTTTCATTCATCATAGAATCAATCACTCACTCAGCTGACTTCAAATCCACCCCCTTACTCGAATGCAGTAAACCAATTTAACCAAAAAATCTTTTGCGGAAGACTGATAAACAGGATACGAGCAATAAACGCGACACAAACAGAAGTCATCTTTAGTCAACTCAATGAATTTATGCAGATACATATCATTTTTCAAACCCTATTTTTGGTACATCTTCCTCAACAAGGTTCTTAGCATTCTTGTTTCCTTTGTCCAAGTGCGACGGGCACTGGACAATAAGAAAACGAGGCACGAGATCCAACGGACAAACATCAATGAAGAGATGTACAGACACCCTATTAGCATAGGTAGATGACCAGCCCAAGTCGCTCGGAACAGTTTTTTTCACCGATGGGGAAACTTCCGGCTGGTTCTGTTTTAGAGTCCTCACAACCCTACTAAGGGGGAGTAAGCTTTAGCGTAAATAATTCCCCGAAATTATTGACCACAGCGCTCATCACTGAACATTGGATGCTGACCCTGACTGTTTAAGTAGACTTGTTTAGCTGAAGGCTTTAGGTCAAGCATCCACGCCATTTGGTACTCCGTCATGTCACATTCGTGCACGATCACTAGCCAGCCAGCAGTACAACTGCTGAGCTTTTTTCTAGATCAATTACCTTCGCAGGGTCAACTACTCTAACTTTCGCTAAATTCTTATTTTCTAATAATTGGAATACACCCGATCTACTGGTTTAACCTATGCTGGTTGACCTTCCATCCATTGTAAGGTATTTGGATATCTTTAAAAAACACCAGCTTCTGATTGGTCATCTAAGAGTTATATCGTGCGTTCGTGTTGCTTGGATTGGTTATCCTTCAACTTTGCTCATCGATCCTTCTAACACTTTTCTGCTTGTTGCTTCAATTTCTCAAATGAAAAACAAAAAGCAAATTGAACAACTGATATACATCCATATAATATGTGTGTTTTGTTTGACAGTCTGTTCTTGGTGACATGTATCCATATAATATGTGTTTGTTTGACAGTTGGTTATATTTTACGATGTATACATGGATCGATATTCCATTACAATTAGCCAATCATGTTAAGACTGTCTATTGATTTGTTCATTTTGAATATTCGCTCACACACTCGTTCGGACATTCTTATATATTTTGCTCTCACACTCTTGTGTGATATTATTGATTCTCTTCTTGTGTTTGGAAAATAGAAGTATCATCGCAAACCTAGTGGTCTTCTGATTTCCGTCTTTCTTGCGTCAGGACTATTAAATTCTCGACCAGTACATAACAATAATTTGGCGACGAGTACATAATAACAACTTTATCAGATTACATACAATTTCAAAAGTGAAAACTTACATTACTCAAAGTTGTATTTGATGGAGATGATGACTGTGAAACTGACGGTAGAGATTTCTGTTTCACATGACAAACTTTCTCTGATACTGTAACACTACCACCTTTCAGGGGATTCTTGCCACGTTCATGAGACTGGTGACGGTGGTGCTGGTGGTGGTGATCATCAGATCCATGCGTTTGATCAATTAAAGGGATGTCAGTTGTGCTGTGGATAGATTGAATATTTTTCCATGATTTACTTATATCTAAAACACGGGAATCATCATTATCTTGTCTATTCTGAACCGTGTTACTACGAATAATAGCTTCCACTGTGTCGGCAAACTCGATTGCTTCTGGTTCGATTGAGTTGAGTAAATAGCCAACACTGGGTTCCTGATAGAGAGATTTAAAGATGTAAATTAAGAGAACAGATAAAAAATGTCTGATAATTACCAAAAGACTATTGGGCCATGTCCCAATGGCTGAATGGTCTACGAGCATACTTTGTAACCCGGAAGGTCCTGGACTCGAACCCCGGTGGGTGCGTAATGGTGAAGAGTCTCAAACTAGGACGAAACAGCTGTTCGGTACACCCTGTTGGTTTTCCAATGGTTCTCTATAACTGGTTGCGGGTCGTGATCAAACGTGATAAACTAATCAAATCCATTGAAACCAACACTTGTTTATTACTAAAACAGGTCAATCACAATTTATAAACATACAACGAAACGCATCGTTTCAACTACAGACGACGGTACTGGTGAGGATGTCAAAACCAGAATTGGAGGGGTAATGTGCACTTTCATCACTCTGAAATTAGTGTGAAAATCTGGTAAACTCAGAATAAAGAACAAAATACAGCGTTTCAACACTAATGTCATATCACACAGTCAGCTCTTCTATATGGATTAGAGAGACGTGACGTGCATGTTACGAAAGCATTTTAAACGGGTCGCTGCACAGTTTTATCAATAGCTTCCTTCGCCATCTCCTTACTGAAAATAAGATGACCAGCCAAAACGAATCAGCAACAAGAACCTCTGGCAACTAACGAACCAATCAAGAACCTCTATTGATCAACAAATATGTGGAAGAAAATGAAAATGGATCAGACACACGCTGAGAAGAATGTCGAGTGACATCTTGTGCAATGCAGACCATCGTTAGAATGGGAGCCGAATGAGGAACAACGATTTCGGAATGGCTCCGAAGGTGACATGGAGGAGATCATCTGAGGATAAGATGAAATCTTACGGGCGGAAATCGTGGGTCCAGCTGGAGAAGACTGAAGAGGATAGGACAAATGGAGATGTTCTGTTGAAGCAGCATGTTCAACTCCGAACCCAAAGGAACAATAATAATAATAATACTTGGTTGGAAATTTGTCTTTAGTAGTCATTAAAAAAGGTTGGCATGACAACGACCCACCTATTTGACAATTACAGGATGCTGCTTACTAACTGAGGACTGTATTAGTCACATATTGCAGAAATTGGGTTGGAAGATGTCACGCTTTAGTTAACTACTTGCTAATAAAATCCCATAGTTTACATAGTTTAAAATTTCACGCAAACATTCTGTTCTTTCATACTCCACATTTGTATATGTCAGTTAGCCTTAGTTATCCATCCACGTAAACAAATACTGCAGATTATTAACGATATCAAACCACTGAGATATTAAGCTGACTAATCATAGACATATATGCCAGTTGAGCCGTTAATTCAGTTTATCGCCCAATTAATAAGCAAGTGGTAAGCACAAAATTACTAATGAAGTATGAAAGGCGTGACCACAATGACTCAGGTAATACAATGAATCAATTATTACAATATCTATTAACATAAAATACTATTAGTAATAGTAATAAATTGTGAAACTAAGACCAAAATAAGCAACTATACTCATAATAAAGTTAGCAGTACAAATAAAAATAAAAATATTTACAATTATCCAGTGTCACCCGGATACCTTATTCTAGGTTGGGGTTGAAGGTCATTTGATGGAGCGCGAAAGAGAGAGAGAGAGAGACTGAGCCAACGTTTTCTGAACACAAAGATTGGACTGAAAAGTTTTTGTGACAACTGCTTCAACCATGCCTAGTACTAGAAGGGAATTGACAAACTTAAGGAATTTAGATGAAACCGTGTATAAACCTGTGAGGTCGAAATTGTTATCCGTTTTGTGATCCGTATCCACGAGGTGTGCCAGTATGCAACTCCCGACTGACTTTACAACTCTCTTGCTTTGCCTAACCACGTTGGACAAATGCTCAGAGTTCAAGGCGACGGTGGGCTTCCCAAGTTGTTCTACCTATGTAACTGTTTCTAAACACAAGAACAGATTTATAAATGCATGCTGAGATGGCCAGACCCGGTAGCGTATCCTTCACCTGCAGTGGAATTACACAACCACTAGTGAATTTTAAACATAGTCTTGCGGCAAAGAATGTTTAGCAATTATATTTTCCTGACTTTCGATGCAAGTAATTCAGTGGCTATGTCCCCGTTGGATGATAAAGTCATAACATATACGTTTCTTCTGCACATTTTTCAAGCATATCTCTCTATCTGATTTCATGATCAAGACTAACAAATTTTTCTCATACAATACGTTCTCAATTTTCCTTATTTCATCGTCAAGAGTGTTGGTTGTGCAGAGTTTCTTTTTGTAGAACAAAACATCAGGGTACTGATGGGATTTCGTTTGGATACAAGAAGCCTTCAACCCCGACTAAGAACAATATTCGTAGTGGCATCGGATTCAAACTGTACGCCTTAACTGACAGTCAGTGAAGCCCACTCCTGTAGAATATCATTTTTCTATTTGATAATGTGAAATCTCATGTCAAAGCTCCATATATATTTTTGCAAAAAAGGTATTCAGAAAATGCTTCATCTGGCAGCGCCTTCACCTTAAAAGACTTTATCCGATACATTCGGAGTGTAAATAAGTATAAAATTTGGGCACTGTGGTGGTAGAGTATAACTCCACTTTGGATAAGATTTTATTTTGATACAGTAATATTAACTGATGATCTTTACAGCACAAATTATTGCCACCCATAATCATATCAAGTCACTTACACAACTTTCTTGCTTCATTTGTATACATGAGTAAAAATTGATGATTAGATATTTGAATAAAAATCAGTATAACATAAAGTAACATTCAGGAATCATACTAGTGTTATCAATCAAATATAATCAAATGGGAAATAAGACGAGTGTTTTTATAGTTATAATAAGTAACTTGTTATGATGTACGTGAACTGAAACAGAATTTTAAGATTCTTTATTATCCTCCTCTGATTTGACTGACTGGTGGTAATAATATCTTCCACGCATATCTCTGGTATTTGCATTGAGTCATTTCTGTTACATGTGTTGGGTGTATTAGGCTCGATGAACCAGGCAGGATTCAGTAATCTCTCTCTCTCTCTCTCTGTCTCCACCTACCTTAATTACTTTTTCGAATTTTGACTGTGTCCCGCCTACCCTATTGTGTGGTTGTGTGTTAATGTATGCAGTGAGATTGCTAGGCTTTTTTTTCCTAAATTACTTATCTTCGTGGGATCAATCCCTCCTAACCTTAGCTAAATTCTTTTTTTTCTGACAAGTTAATTATTTTGACTATGAAAACATCTTAATTCTCATCTGATTGTATTTGATTGATAACACCAATATTGTGGTGAGAGCTGGCTGCTAACCAAATCGGAAGACGGTAATTTACGTCAATGTTTACATCCTCAATATTGGTCGTGAGAAAAATAAGAACAAAGACTGATTCAACAACCAACCACAGTCAACTTTGCGTAGGTGGATACAATCTGCACATAGCTAATCTGAACTTCAGTAAATGGCCACAAAGAGATGAAAGATTAAGGTTCAACGAAAAACCACCAATCAGAAGACTGTTTGTTTGCTTACAATAATTTATAATAATGTACATGAAAATCTATAAATATCTGTTGATTTCCTAAATAAACAATCTGTAGCCTGGCCCTTGTCTTCTGTTGTTACAATATGACTTCTGAATGTACATTATCTTATACTGATTTTTATTCAAATGTCTAATCATCAATATCACTCATGTATATAAATGAATGAAAAAGTTGTGTGAGTAACTTGATATGATTATGAGTGGCGATAAATTGTGCTCTAGACGTTCTATGGCATCATCGCGTGAGTAATTCTAACGTTCGGCGGCGTGTTTTTAAACACAGTGGAGATCACCATTCATTGAGTGTCGTCATCTGGAAACACCGGCCCCGGTTGCTTGGACATGTGCTGGGAATGTCACCCCAGAGGCTTCCGTACAGGTCTCTGTTCGCTAGCCCTGGGACAGGATGGAAAAGGCGGAGAGGTGGTCAGTCCATGACGTGGCGTCGTGGGATGAAGGATATTTGTGCAAGATTAGCATCGGTTGGTGTGTCACGACTCCCTGGTTGGGGTCCGAGAGGTAGCTCAAATCGATGGCTTGAAACGTTATCGGATATGGCCAAGAATCGTAATCAGTGGCGAATGTGTTGTGATTTCCTTCTTTCTTCCCTTCCCGATGATAGCTAACGAACACTGTTTGAACTTGTTAAGCGTGACTGTCTTCCTACCAGATGAAGTTCTTTATCCGCTCTCTATTTATATTTTTTTCTTTTCTTTCTTTTTTTCTTTTGATCTATGTTGTTTTATTATTATTGTGCGGCGCACCCTTCTTGGTGCCATATTTTACCAAGTTTTTTATGCGTTTAAATAAATAATAAATAAAATACATCAGTTAATATTACTGTACAACACTGTGTGATTCCAAGTAGAACAAAGGGCTTCAAAGTTTTAATCCTTGAAGTCTCAGTGGAAGTGGTGTTTTTTTCCACAGTGGAGTTACTAACTTCACGTTTAACCTTCCCTAGTCACCACGCTCGCTACCGGCTAGGCGAGGTTAAGGAGTGCTCCGGGGCTGAAGGTCGATCCATAGTCCACGTGAGGCGTGGTTAGTTGGCGAGTAATCCACCGCCAAACCACTAACGCATTGTCTACGTATTATTATTCATATATGTGAGAAAAGAGACATGAACAGGGTGTAACCATCCCTAAAAATGTACTAATTCAATATTAAAAAACTTATTTTGCTAGGCAACCATCATCTAACTCAGGAATCACATAATTGCACCGGAAACAGAAGACTACACATAGAGTTGGACTGTAAACCTAGGTCGACCAGATGAATCTCACACTTATGACTCATTGTTTTAGCTAGTCAAAACAGAATTCCTTAAAGGTACAGAGGCGAGTAAACAACAAAAACCTTTGATCATTCCGTAAACTGTTCAAAACACCATACATAAAATCATCTACAGAAAAATTGCAATTCTAAATCTTCTTCGAAGGATAAACAATACAATGCATTTCCCAGGAGAGAGAAAAAGCAAACATTGTTCAACCATTGAATGCATGCATAGCTACTTACAACACCTGACTCCGTTGATTCTGTATTGCTCTGATCCATAAAACAGTAGGGCTCGGTCACGTCAATCTCTTCCGAGTTCACCTTCTTTGTATTATCTGACAGGCCAGTAGTGATTGTTGAACTATACTCCTCTCTGGCGTTTATACTATCCATACTACGCGATGTCGACTTATTTGATGATAGACTGAAATTTACTAATGGAGAAAGAAAAAAAAGTCGGAGAAAAGTTTATAAGTAAAGAGGAAAATACCAGGTGATAAAAAATGAAGATGGAAATTGTAGCTGGAAACAACGTTAAAGGGACGATAATTTATTCAAGATACACTGGCACAAGTAGGTGACAGATGATACAATATTAGTAATATAATACAATATTTGGAACGTGCTCACCGGCTAAACAAAGCCATTATTGTTATTATAATTTTCCCTTGGGTTCCGAGTGGAACATAGGGCTTCAACAGACCATCTCCACTTTGTTCTATTTTCTGTTTTCCTCTCTAGCTGGACCCACGATTGCCCATAATCCCTCATCCCCTCCTCGCCAAACGACGGCCCCATGTTGTCGTCCTAGGACGACTTACTCATCGTTTTCTGTTCAGATTCCATCCGAGTGATGGCCTGCATTGCGCGCGATGTCACTCGACGGCTTCCTCAACGTATTCCCAATCAATCTTTATTTCCTCCTACATATCTGTTGAAGGATAAGTTCTTGTTTAGCTTATTCCCATAGTTTCTTACTGCTTATTCTTTCAATACATAGCGAAAACAACTATTGATAAAAGTCTGCTAACTGTTCGAAATGCTTTTCAGGATGCACAAAGTTTCTCACCCATATATAGAAGAAGTGACTAAATGACTTATCATTGGTGTTGAAAATCCGAACCTTGTTTTTTATACTAGCTGAGTGCAGAAGGCTTCCGAATCGACTTCAAACTAATGAGGGTGTATCCTGCCTTTCCGATTCTGGCTTTGACATCTTCATCCGTTCCGCCGGCCTGTGGTTGAAACAATGCTTCCTAGACGAGTGAAGGAAGTGACCTCTTCCAAGTTTCTCACGTTGATAGTGACTGGTGCTGGTTGTTCTTGGTTATCTTCATCACCCAGAGTCTTGTCTACGCTGTTTCCTCAGTCAGTTTGTTGGTTTTTACCTGCAAGTCTTTGAGTTCGTGTGACATGCAACATATGTCATCCCCACACGCAAAATCCAAATCTTCTCCAGTCTTCTTATCGGTGATCTAGCGTATTCCTGTTTTCTCACTCCTTGTTCACAGTCTGACGCATAATCCAGACTGTGTTATACAGCTAATAAAAATAGGCAGTTCCCCTGTTAAATTGCCAAATCACAAATTCAACCTACTTGCCTAATTTCGAATCTCATAGTGAAAATCTACACTTCACTGTTGATAATACTTTCACTAAAAACAAATGTACTTCAATTGATGATAAACAGGAAATTCAAAGACACAATATACAGAAATTACTACTATTTAGTCAGCAGATAAATAAACGGAGACCACATCTAACGTGGATGTACTTCGGTGCTTCAGTGGTAGAATACCACGGGCCAATCACGTATGCACATGATCCGGGGTTCGATTCTCAGCCGACATACTCTTAAAACTCACCGAGTGAAAAAGGTAAGCTCGTATGTGAGGCAACAGTACATAGAAAACACACACCATTTCTACTGAAAATTTAAAGATCAAAGTCCTATGTTCACTCACAAAACACAGGAACTTCAACACAACATACGCACTTTCACAGCTTTCTTCATCTCCTGTCTAAGACAAATTTGGTAAAGATCGTCAACTATAGGGCGGGCAGAGTTATTTGGTCGGAAGACCCAACTGAAGACAAACTCAAGGTTGCATACGACACATTAATTGAAAGCAGCTACCCCGAAAAGTTAGTTCATCCCCAAACACGCACACATGGCTAAGTAAGTAGGAAAGAATTCTTCTGTATCTGTCAACAAGAAGCCTCTGTAAGTATGACTACAATTCAAAGGTGATATACCAAGTGAGGAAAAAAACCAACAAGTTGAGGAAATCCATCCAAAGTACGCTTAATGCCCGTAAGTCGCAGCTTACACTTTCCATACAACACGTCGTGATTCCAAAACTGAAAGACGAGGTACCTACCCAGGTTATTATTATTATTATTGTATCCTTTAGTTCCTAGAGGAACATAGGGCTTCAGCTGCGCACCTCCATTGACTTCGGTTTTTTGACAACTTTTTCACCCTGCTCCAGGTCTGCCCACATGCTTTCATCTCCTCTTCACATGACCTCCTCCAAGTCACCCTTGGACGACCAACTCGCCGCCTCCCTTTCGGGTTCCACTCGAGGGCTTGCCTAGTGATGTCACTTGATGGTTTCCTCAGCGTATGGCCAATCCATCTCCATTTCTTTCTGCCTATTTGTTTAACAATCGGTTCCTGATTGGTTCGCTCCCAGAGATCCCTGTTGCTGATCTTTTCTGGCCAGCCATCTGATCTTGAGTATTGAGCGGAGACAGTTGTTAATGAAGGTTTGAAGTTTGTTAGTTAGTCACCTGTAATTGTATGTAACAATTCAAATGGTCCTACAAAACCAGTTACATTGGCCGTTGCTTCAGGAACCTAGTTATTTTGTGTTCGGCAAAAACTACCAGTGTGATCACATAAAAGTGTTTTCAGCAAGGTCAACAATTTAATATTCGATCACCTAATCCCCAAACAGGCATTGGAGAGTCTCCATCCATCATCTACATCGAACAAATTGCCAAAGGCCTCTAGACACTGAATACTCAAAACAGTAGAGGCTACTACAACTCACTGTGAAGTTAACTACAAGAAACAGGTCTAGCTAGCCACTATTGCTACACTGGCCTGCTATCGAACCTGTAGAGTCATAAATTCTGTGTCTTACTTCTCTTAATTTTTATCTAATATTCAATCAGTTTAGTGTTATATGAATGCATATTATTTCCCTCTGCCTTCCAGATACTACTGAAATGTATAATCACCTATCAAGACTATTGACTCAATGTAGTTTAAAACAGCACTGCTGTTGTTAACAAGAATATTTCTTTAATGATTACTGCAATATAAATGTAGAACCTGAAGACAAAGAAGTTATGGAGAAGAATATTCCTTGTTCAACAATCAGTCTTTTAAATTTCAATGAAGGGCGGGAAAAAGCCTTCATAGGTTAACTTACAATCTTGAGCTGCAATTCGCCGTAGTATTCGACATAAATCTGGAGATGCTTTGTCGTTAGCAAGAAGGCTATCAACGCATTGTAAGATTTTTGCATCAAGCTATGAAAAAAAAAATAAAAAGTACACTCACAGATAAATGACAAACAGATAGGGTTGCATGCAGATATGATGTAATATCTCAAAATCACCGAACACTCCCACATTTTTTTTTCTTTTCCTTTATTTTTATATAGACTAACCGCTTTCGGAAAGAATCTGACTGTCTCACCGTCAGTTACTTAGTCGATCTGACAGTTTTAAACCGAATAGCTTTTTATCGAACATCAAGTAGTGGTTCAAGTTAAGTAGCCTTACGTTTAAATCCCTCTACATGTTGGACAGTCAACTTCACCTTCACGCATAAACGTGATCTACACGAAATTGTTCGTTCACAAGATGCTTGCAGCATACAGGGCACTAAAATGGAAACTAAGTCAAGCATAAATCACCCTGGGACAGTTCATCCCTCTGACATTTCTAACCTACTACATTAAGAAGTTAAGACAATCAGGTATCACTGAATCTCTACTTTTACTATTTGTTAACTTTTGAATCTTACCTACTTTTAATTTATTGCCCCCCCCCCTCAACAGTCTTTCCTGTGTTACTCAAAAAGGAATATGTCACATTTTGAGGGCTACTAAAGGCTGTCAGTAGGACAAGTAGTGTTCCACTGAGTCATCTGGTTACTACAATAATTGACAGACACCTGAGCTCATGTGAGAAATGGTTTAAATCCACTTTGTCTGATTCTCAGCACCCTCTCTATCCGCAACCCTCTCCCTGAGCGTTTCATCACGTAGAACAACAAGTCATTGTACAAGATTATGTGTTCAAACAATCAAGCACAGAAACTCAAAGATACCCTTACAGGATTTCACCATGAGCTGACAGTGGTTAGAAAACCATTGGAGTACTGGACAGTTGTTTTGTCCTAGCTTGGGTCTCTTCAACGGTGCGCATCAACATCACGGAATTCGAACCCAGGACCTTCTGGTTACAGGGCCAGCAAGCTTGTAGACAATTAAGCCACTGGGACCCGATCCAATGGCCACTCCATGAATTCTAACTTCTGCCAATTCACGATATAGCGCAACCGCTAGCCAATATGTCTTTGGCGAGTATTTGCCCTCACACCCGACCTACTGCACCCTACTGGTCACGACTTCCTACTAGAACGCCAGGTAACTACCTACCTAAATAGGGCCAGTCGCCAGTCAGCATCTCATTGATATTCAAGTAAAGGTTTGTAGGGAAGTGGGTTCTAGTGGGAATTCGTGACCAGTAGGGTGCATCCCGTCAGGTGTGAGAACAAATACTCGCCGAAGACATTGGCTAGCGGTTGCGCTATGTCGTGAATTGGCAGAAGTTAGAATTCATGGAGTGGCCATTGGATCGGGTCCCAGTGGCTTAATTGTCTACGAGCTTGCTGGCCCTGTAACCAGAAGGTCCTGAGTTCGAACCATGGTGGATAGGTGCATACTGATGAAGAGCTAGTCTCAAACTAGGTTGACGAAACAGCTGTCCAGTACTCCCTGCAGGTTTTCCAATGGTTCTCTAACCAATGTCAGCTCATGATGAAGTCCTGTAAGCAATCAATCAAAATCCCTACAAACCGATACCTGAATATCAAAGATACCCTGACACAGATAGTGTTAAACATGAAACCTACGACTGACTCTATGAAGTTAGCTATTCTCTCCTATTTGTAATTTATGATGAAACTATTTCAATTACAATCTTATAATTTCAGCTATCAACATTATTTACTAATCATTATGCTACACCTTTTGTACATTTTTGTCTTTATTGTAAATAGTGTAATTACCAAAAACCTGCCATTATCAATCCTGGCTACATATATACCCTGTAATGTTCTTTTTGTTGTTGAGTTGATTAGATGCAACAGTGAATGAGAATGAAGAACACTCAGAATCGCCCTTTAGCATACTTTCCTTTGTATACATTTTTAAAAAAATATGTCACCAAAAAATTTTACAAAATTTCAATTCAACTAACAAACATTCATGTTGGCATGTCAAGAGGATAGAGAAAAAAAAAGAACTTACTGCTCTACTAGATAAATCGTCTAAATTTCTATGCGATAATCTCAACGTATTGTCATCCAATAGTTCACTTTTATTATCCCCATCCATCATTAGTATATCATCCGAGGAACCAGTTTCTTTTGCATTGAATAGAATATTCATTAGGGCATCGTTTGCTTCATCAGCAGCAACAGCATTTTCGCCATCGTCTTCATCGTTATCCTCATTGTCATTATCGTCGTCATCACTGTCCTCCTCCTCCTCCTTATTGTTATTTTTGCTGTTGCCAATATCGTTGGACTCATCACCATTATCGTCATCTTCGACATCATCATTATCGAGGAAAACGCCTTCACCAATTAGTCCCTCCAATCCACCTCCTCCTCCGTCTTCCTCATTATCATCGTCGTCATCATCATCATCATCAAGATGAACATCTTCAACAAATAGTCCTAATTCTTGTTCCTCATCACCATCATTGTCGAAAATATTCGATTGCGATGATAATTGTGGATTATTATTACTGTTAGTGTTACAATCAGTCGTTGTTGTTCCTGTTGCTGTACCACTACTGGATTGTAGTTGTTTTTGATTATCTTTTGATGAACCACCACCAGCCGTCTGTCTGTCATCTTGACAACTGACACTTGAATTCTTAGATAGAGATGGTGGTGGGGGTGGGGGTGGGGGTGATGATGATGACGTCGATGACTTTGGAGGTGATTTTCCACACACCTGTTGAACTATATCACCCTCCACAACCGAACTTTTTTCAGTAGTAGCCGTAGTCGTAGTAGTAGTGGTGTTGGTGCTAGAAGTACCACAATCTTTAGTACGATGACTCACGCCAACTTGATTAGGATTACTAGATTTGACAAGTGACAATAATGATTGTTTTGGTGTTGGTGACGGTGCTGCTGTTGAAATCTCTTTCTTTTCATTTAGTGAATTTGATGAATAGATTTTTTGTGCAATAGCACTAGAAGTTAATATCTGTAAGAGGGGAAAAAAGCGCAGCAACAAAAGGATAAGCGGAATAAATATTTATGAAATTTTGAAAATGATAATCATAAATCACACATCTTCCATCAATCCGACAGAAAAAGTGGAGAAACAACACTAATTGAGTCAATAAAAAGACTTAAACAAACAAAGTAGCGTCATACACGGTTTATATGAATCTTCAAAGCCTACTCGCGCATGGTTACACCAAGATTATATGGACTACTAAAAAGTGCATAAAATCGGTTTGCCACTTCGATCAGTGTTGGACATGTGTAATTCCCCATATCACGAAACAGTAAAATGGCTAGTGAAGCTCCTGAAACCTCTGCATAACGAAGTGGTAAACCGTAGCTTTTGAATTTGTTGGAAAAATAAGAGATCTTAATGTCAGGAACAAGTGTTTATGATATCTTTTGATGTATCCTCCTTGTTCACCAATGTACCGTTAATGGAGACAGTAGACTTTATATGTGAGGAGATTACTACACGAAACATAGATATCGGGATTTCTGTATCCACCATGAAGGAACTTATTTTAAGATGTACAATGCATGTTCATTTCTTATTCAATAAGGAAAGGAATATTACAGATAAATTGATGGTGAAGCGATGGGTTCTCCATTACGTCCAATCCTAGCTTATTTTTTCCTCACTAAGTTACAGAATGGACCACTGAAAAGAGTAATTAGTGACTTGGATTTCTACTGTCGATATATAGATGATACATTTCTGATTATGAAAGATGAGAATGATGCAATGAACATCCTTGACAAGTTTAATGATGTACATTCAGCAATAAACTTTACCATAGAGAAAGAAAGTAATGACAGTATCTCATTCCTAGACATCTTCATGGCAAGGAAGGAAGATGACACACTAAGAAGGAGTATGTATAGGAAACCTACAACAATAGGTCAGTAAACTCATTTTTTGAGTTTTGTACCTTTGAAATATAAATGTAAACTGGTAAAGTGTCTGGTTCATAGGGACAGGTTAATCTGTTCAAACGACTACCTCAATGAGGAGCTTAAGATTATTAGAGAATTACTTAGAAAAAATGGTTATCCAGATAAATTCATTGAGAAAAATATAAATTCAGCACCTAGGACAGTCACTTTGACAACAGTTCCGAAAAGACCAATGTTCATAAAACTAAAGTACCTCGGTGACAACATCAGCGAAATAATAACACAGCGCCTGAAGAATGCAGTTAAAAGAGCTTATTATGCAGCAGAGATACGTTGTCTTTTCACAACCACCTCTATTCTACGTTCGAGAAATAAGGATAAACTACCTAAATTTGCCTCTTCTATGTGTATCTACCACTTTGACTGCAGCTGCACAGCCGGCTACATTAGGCGTACAATTAGGCAGGTTCATCATCGTATTTCCTTCCGAACATCATCCGGCATGGTTAAGCAAGGGACAAACAAGATCTATTCGTAGCTCTATTTTGGCACACCTTGTTGATACTGAGCATAAGGTTGATGTTAACACAACATTTAAAATTATCTATCGTATTCCGGCTAATCTTAATTTTGCTCTACGAGTTCATCTTCTACAGACAGCTGAAGCAAGTGGATTCCACCTGAAGAAGCCAAACCTGTGTGTTCAGAAAAAATTTGTACAGCCACTTTCCTTACCTTGCCATCGTTACATGAATGTATAAGCCGAACTACTTCACCCCCCCTCCCCCTAAACCTTTAAAAATTATAATTGTCCGAATTATTTAATTTTTTTTGTGACCACTTCATCTTTAATCACGTGTTATCATTGTCGAATTAATTTATTCTAACCATTTCTACCTTTTAATAGTGCGTATTGATTTTCTTCGTTAATTATCAACCCATTGACATTTTGACACTGACTAATTATCGTTAACAAACATATCAGTGCCACTTGATTGGTAAATTGTTGTGTATTGTAATTAAAATGCTATATATATTAGAGTAGAGCCAGAGATGAGGATCTAATTGAAAAAGTAAATATTTCTTCGCTCAATCTCTCTGTTTTCATAATTTTTTTGTATTGGCAAAAAAGGGGAATGTTTCCAAAGCCATGATAATCGAGATATGTTAAATCCCAAACTCTGTGTAGAAAAGAAATCTGTTTAGTTACTGAATCCAAAGTGAACCATATTATTATTATCATTAAAGCTCTTTTGGGCTCCGAATGGAACAAACATAAGGCTTTAACAGCCTCTCCTTCTGTTGTTCATCTCTGCATTGATTGGTTCATCTTCCGTTCCACCATTCTCCTGTCGTCTTCTATTAAATACAAAGTGTGTGTCTCTCTAGAGAGCGATTTCTTATCTTGCCTGTTCTTTCATCCTAAAATAGCTGAAACATCACCTTCAGAGAGTTAGTTCCAATGTTCTTCCTTTCAGACAGGTTTCTTCACTAATACCATGCAATGTGTCCGATTTTACTCTGATCGCTGCAGTGAATGTCTTTCGTAGTCCCGTATTTCAGTTACTGAGTGTTGAACTCAACTTGTGATCTGTCTCCAGTTGTTGCGAAGGCTTTCAGCTTGACTTTGTAGGTTCCTTGGACTGGATAATAATGGTCTGATCCCACACCTGCTCCTCTTCTCCACCTTGTCTCCACTTTCTTGGGCAGTGTTGAGATCAAGTCTATCTGGTTTTCGGTGGGTATAATGGACTTCATCCATCCTAAAATAGAATAAGTAACTCTGTTTCTCCCCCGTCCCCTCCCTAATACACCTCTACTCAATCTCGTCAATTGCATTTACTTATTTTACCTCAGTTGCCACTTGAGTAACGCTGGCTTGTATGAACAGAATCATTCACAGTTTGAAATTTCTAAAACCATGAATCACTAGGCTAGCTGAATTTCCATTCAACACAATGGATCAGCACATCTTTTTATAATCCATATTGTTTTGATTATTCAGTTAATGTCATTGACTCACAAAGTGTACACCTGTTGTTGAAGCCCTATGTCCCACTCAGATTTAAAGGGAATACTACTAATGATAATAATAGTAGTAAAGTTCGCTCCTCAGGTAGAAAATGATGTCATAGAACCCATTTATGGTAAATCAAGCGTTTGAGTCAATGAAGGAAAGCTTATCAGCCATAACTGCGAAATACGTCGAGAAAACGATCAAAATTGCAGCAGACTTATACCTTCTCTCGATGTCACTGAAGGAAACTCCTGGATCTAGGTACAGTGTGCAGCTCGACAATAATCAGCTAGACGTGTCCCCCAACCTCCAGCAAGAGTATATGAAGACAACAAGTATGGTTCAGCTTGAAGATGGCCTGTGTAAAAATGAAGGTTGGCAGAAAAACAACTCAACTATTTTTTTTATCATTTTCTATATATATCGAATTCACAATTTGCGATCTACACAGTTCGACTGATGAAATTTCACCATAGTTCCTTTTGGAAACCAAATTATTCAGATCGCACACACAATATGTGATCTGCTCGTGATATCAGTTCGACCAAAGGGGTTAAACAGAAATCCGGTGTGGTTTCAACTGATTCAACCGATTCTCTGATCTCGGTAGAATCGGGTACACTGCTCACGCAATCGGCCCCAAACACCAGTGTTTATATCACCCCGGTCTGACTAGCAAGCAGTACTGGTTGATATGAGCGGTAGTGTAGAACTACCCATCTCAATCAATCAGTAGTGTTTAGTTTCATGCAAATTATCATTCTACGTATAATAACCTATTTGTCTCGCTGCTTTAAAATCCTAACAGGAATCTAGAGATAAACTTTTCCAAGTATTGGTTGATTGGTTACAGGATTTCATCATGAGCTGACATTAGTTTGACAACCACTGGAAAACCTGCAGGGAGTACTGGACAGCTGTTTCGCCAACCTAGTTTGGGACTCTTCATCAGCACACACACCCAAGGGTTCGAACCCAGGACCTTCTGGTTACAATGAGAACAAATACAAGTGAGGAGGATACAATATTCATCTGAAACAATATAAATGTTTGAAAAGGAATCTAACTTACAGAATTATGTACAGTATAAACATTGCCGTAAAATTCTAGACCTCCAAGAGCGAGTTGTTTTCCACCATTTGCATTCGGTCCCGTCACCTGAATTTTAAAGAATCGCCATCCTTTCACCTTATTTACAGACGCCGATGTATTCGATGTAGAAGATAAGGTTTCAGCAGCAGTGTCACGATTCTTATCACAGTTTGTTATACTCCAGGTGGCACGACTACCGGATACAGAATGAATACTTAGATCATTATTGTGTTCACGTAGAATAGTCCAAGATATTGCGTCGTTTGAAGCCTAGTTGTTGATTAATGAACCAAAAACAAAAAGTATTTAATATGAAGAAGAAATGGTGTACGTCAAGTTTCAAAAAATTCTATAACTTTTATAACTTTATCAGATTTTGGATTTCTCGACTCACAATGCTTCGGTGTGCGCAGTCTTGCTCCACGCCTGTTAAACCTGAGGATATGCGACAACTCTAAGTATTCGATCATCGCTGTCTCTGTAGAATTGAGTAATCCTGAGGTGTGTGTGTTTGGGCACGATAGACATTCCCAATCATCGATTGTCATCATTTGAAAGTGCCGGCTTTGGTGACCTGAATATTTGCTACCAATGTCATCCCAGAGGCTTCCATACCTGTCTCTGTTTGTTCTTTAGAGCTGGGACTAGATGGGAAAAGCGGAGATGGCCAGGCTAGTAACGTAGAGTCGTCGGATGAAGGATATTCGTGATCGGTTAGCACCAGTTGGTACACTACGACTCCTTCATTGAGGCCCCAAAAGTTAGTTCAAACCGGTGGCTCGAAACGAGTTCAGAAATACCAAGGGAATCTCAATCAATAGTGAATATACTGCAATTTCGTTCTTTTTCAGAAGGTACAGTGAAATACTGAATGTTAAATGACCTTGACAAATATGCTTGGTTGCTTGTTTTCTGGATTACGTCTCTCATCGATTCTCTGCCTGTTTCCTGTATATATTGTTGTATTATTATCTCAACATGTCCATATTATACCCAGTTCGTTTAAAACAAACGAATAATAGTAGTCTGACAGTAAAATCTCCACCGTCATTGAAAATCTATTCGCTTAACAACCGAGCACTTGATGACACCAGCAAAAACTGGTAGCAACTATTCAGTATATACGCTTCTTTCCTTCAAAGCTTTATCTCCCACAGATTTGCATCACCTTCCCTATTACGAACAGTTGTCATCTAAAGTCATGACAACCAGTCGTGTCCATCACGGATGTCAACTATGCCCATTTCTGTTTAATTTCATGATAGATATATTAATGCAACTGATTCTAAATGACTTCAGCAACTTAGGGATTGACCTATTACCAGAAAATAATCTTACAGATGATAGAATCCTCCTAAGTGGAGACACTGATAAAATGCACAGTCTCCTGAACATCTTGAGCAGTAATCTTCGTATGTTTGGTGTGATGTTAGCTGACATAGGTACGAGAAGGTCTGAAAAGAACTGGTGATGGTGACGGTCGAACCAAAACATGGAGTCAGTTCATGAAATCTTTTACATGTAGTTTGAGTCAACCACGCAGAGGGATGTAGACTGCTTGGCTGTTCGAAGTCCTTGGGATTATCAGAACCGACGTCTGGAGACAGACAACGACTGGTGATATGACTCAAAATCACTCTCAATGGCGAAGATGCATTCGCTTCTTGTTATCCACTGAATCAATTAAACCCTATTGTTATTCCATCTTACTATTGTTTCTCCCTTAATTTTCTGTTTATTATGCTTCTGTCGAATCTATTTCTCTCTCTCTTTCGTCTACCTTTGTCCACCCGAACTCGATTCTGTTTGACAGATTTGGTGTTCAGTGCAGTTATATCTTTCCTCAGCTAGTTTTTCCAGGATGTCATATTTACCAAAATGACCACGGATTGATATCAGTTAGAGAACCATTGAAAATCAATAGAAAGTACAGGATAACTAGCTGTTTCGCCCTCCCCAGAAGTTCACATCTAGGACCTTCCAGTTAAAAGTCAAGCTCGTAGTCCATTCAGCCACTTGGTCGCGATTCAATCGCCAACCCATGAATTCTAGCTTATACCAATTCATGATTTTAGCGCGATCCCACTAATCAATATCGTCAGCGAGTACTTTCCTCACTCCCAACCGGGTGAACCCTACTACTTATTGGTCAAAACTTTTGACTAGAACCCCAGGCAACTTCGTCATATGGCTAGCGACAAAGAGGTCAATTTTCTGAGAAGTCAACACGTCAAAATTATATAACTGTCTTCTTCATAAATAAGACAAAAATAAATAAACATAGACAATAACTAACCTCTAATTTCCAGTTTCGTAATGCAAGTGAGTGTTCCGATGCATCAGCTCGTCTAAGATACGCCAAAGTATAAGCAGTCGGTACCAACTGTAAACCTAAATCAATAGCAATCCAAGCATGTGTTTCACTTTCTGTAACCGTTTGTACACTGTCAGCAGCAGCACCACCACCAGTATGCTCTGACTTCTGTTCTGTTGCATTCTTTTTATTCCGATTTTCAGTTTGATGATTATTTCCATTCGGACAATTCACACGTTTCGGTTTAACGACAACGCCTATACCACTCCCACGAATTGTATAACCACCAACTAAAGCTCCAGCTTGAGGTCCTAAAATTGAAACAGGTCTACCTTTCACAGGATTACTTGTTGATGCAGCTATACTCACAAGTCCAACCATAGCTGGATTAACCCAATCTTCTAGCGGATGACGATTACCATTAGTTGCAAGCCAGTCGATTACACCGCCTAGATAATCAGCTGAACTATTCCCAGGTGGTGGGGCAGGAAAACATAGGCCACTCGAGTTGAAATTATTCGCGAAACGAATTTGACTCCAGAGAGGTAGATCAGCACGAGGACATTCATACCTGAAAAAAGAGAAACATAAGTAAAACGTGTGGAAATCAATGCAAAGAGAACCAAAAGGTAAGAGGGAAACAATCAAAAACTGACTGGTTCCCTGTTATGTTTTGCAAAACGTTGAGTTTAAATAGAGACGACGACTCGGAGACAGATGCGCTGATCGCAAATACCCCTTGACTACGCCAACAAAACGATACGATAGGTACCTGTTCCCTGGCCAGCTCTATTTAGGTAAGAACACACAACGAGGTCAGCTGAGAAGTATATTTCAGTGTAAGCCATACACACACACTGATATATAACTCAAAGTAACACCAGAGATATGTCAATTAATCTATAACCATGGTCAACAAAATAGTGGGCGTTTTACTTCTCGGAGGTCAATTTTGATTGGTCTATTTCAAGACTGACCATGATCAGCATACTGCCAATGAAGGATAATACATTGTTTATATTTCTACATATCATTCCAACCCCATTCAAACCAAAAGTAAAATAGGCAGTCTATCCCTCAAAAAAAATTTTATTATTATTATTTTTTCCTTTAGTTCATAGAGGAGCATAGGGCTTCAGCCAAACGTCTTCATTGCGTTCGGTTCTCTGCCAAAGTTTTCCCCTGGCTCCAGGTCTGCCCACATGCTCTCATCTTCTCTTCATATGACCTCCTCCAAGTCACCCGTAAACGGCCAACTCGCCGATTACCTTTCGGGTTCCACTCGAGCAATGGCTTGTCTAGTGATCCCACTTGATGGTTTCCTCAGTGTATGGCCAATCCATCTCCAATTCTTCCTGCCTATTCGTTTCACGATCGGTTCCTGGTTGGTTCGCTCATTGCCAGAGAGCCCTGCTGCTGATCTTTTCTGGTCGGCCATCTGATCTTGAGTATTCGGCGAAGACAACTGTTAATGAAGGTCTGTAGTTTGTTTGAGGTGCTCTTCATGACGCGCCAAGTCTCTCATTCGTATACTAGCACTGACTTCACATTGGAGTTGGATCTTATTTTTCATGCTGAAAAGTGATGTTGACCTCCACACAGACTTGAGAGTAATGAAAGCTTGTCTTGCTTTCCCGATTCTGGCTTTGATATCCTCATCAGTTCCATCCGCCTGTAGTTGAAACGATGCTTCCCAGGTAGGTGAAGGAGGTTGTTTCTTTCAGGTTCCTCCCATTTATGCTGGCTGATTGTTGTCTGTTGTTGTTTCTGTGGCTGTTGGTGTTGGCCAAGAATCTTCATCACCTCTGTTTTCTCTGTGTTCACCTTAAGGAAGTCCTATCTTTGATGCTTCTTCTACCTCCAACTTGTTGCATTTCACTTGCATATCTTCAAGTTTGTGGGAAATCAGACATATATCATCGTCGAAGTCCAGATCCTCCAAGTTTTTTGTGTGCGTCCATCTTATGCCTGTTTCTTCTCAAAAAATATTCGTATAATTTCCTAATTTCTATCGTACACCGAACACGTATATAACAATATTTGATAGGTGGTGAATAACAACGGAATTCAGAATGACTGTATTCTCCTGCCTCTGAATCGTGACCTAAGACTGCATTTTAGTGAGTTATGATGGCTTCACTTATTATTATTCCCTTGGGTTCCGAGTAAGGCAAGTTAGACGGTTTCCTTATGCCTAAAGTGTATGCTTGTCTGATTTAAGGACGGCTGCGTGGATTTGCGTCCCAGGACGACGCGACGGGAGACAAACAGGAAGATTACTCTTCTCTCACCTATCTGTAATAGGGTTGGTTGTAAATATAGTCTTTGACGATGAGTCCTCGATCTTACTAGCATCCGACACTTGTGTGATCACCCTACCAATGTGTTTTGCTCTATGTTTCAGATCGGCGGCACAGCGGTTAGGACTCTCGCCGACCATGCAAACATTCCGGGGTTCGATCCCCTGACGACGCACACCTGATATCAATTGGTCGGCCTGAGAAATTTGGGCTACCAATATCACATGCTGAAATGCCATACTTGTATCAAAAATACGATGTGGAATCAAGCTATGAGCAAAAAGGGTATCATTGCTCGATGACTGGCATTACAATTAAAACCTTCGTAGGATTTCGATATTGCTGAACATAAAAAAGATCCTAAGTTTGCTACAACGAACTATTTCATTTTTCCAGAGTCAGTTCGTATGAATTTCATTTGTTTCAAGTCTGACAAAAGGTCGATATCAGTTAGAGAGCGACTGGAACCCTACGAGAGTACCGGACGGCTGTTTCATCCTAGTTTGAGACTCATCGGAAGTACGCACCCACTGGCGTTCGAACCCTTACGATTGCTGGGGACATCACTCGTACCTAATTCCCATGAAACTTCATGAACTCTCCACAACATCAACCAAATTCCAGTACTGGTCCAACAACGTCGCCTTCGGTGGTTTGGCCATGTTCTGCGCCGACCAGATGACGATCTGGTCAAATCAGTTCTAAATCCCTCGCCATTTCCATCTTGGCGATGTCGCAGGGGTGGACAGCTGAAAACATGGCTGGGTACAGTCAAGGCTGATATGGAGTGCCTGGGGCTACAAACCATCTACGGACTCCGTCTGTGGAACAAGAATTGGATAACCCTGTCGTAAAACCTTGCATCAGATCGCCGCGCCTGGGCAGCGATGATTCGAGATGTTCATGAAGCCGGCTCATCCTCCCGTAGGAGATAGCCGAAGTAAAGTAAAGTAAGTAAGATTGCAAGTCAAACTCAAAGACCATTCTCAGTCAGTGGGACCCGAGTCAAATGCCTTCAATTTCTAGCTTCTAGGAATTCAAAATTTTAGCGCAACCACCAACCAGTGTCATCGGTGAGTATTTATCCCCCAACCCCCTCCCTCTAAGATGAGATTTCACTGAGTCACTTAAAAATAAGAGTATCTCACTTGATCTCTTATATCAAGTGGTGTTAACGACTGAGTTTGGCAAAATCAAAGAAAAAAAGACCAAGAAACTTAAAAACTGGAGTTATGAAAATAATTGTGCAGTTATGAGTTTCTGACATAAAAACTGCAAAACTCAAAGTCACAAGTAATTTTTACAACTCACCATTGTTTTGTCGACATACGACTGAGAAATCGTTCCACCTGATTTACAGTTGCCAATGGACTGACAAAAAGTGCTTTACCACGCCAGTTGTACAGTCGTCTGGAGTCATTATCACACGATTTACCGCCAGACTCATCATCATTCGGTGGTTTCGGCAGTTTATCTAAGTATACAGACAGACGTTTAGCAATTTGATGTAAACTTGGCACGCATGAATCAAATTCTGGGAAATCCAGGAGAACAGGACAAAAACGTAACAAAGCTGATAGCTCTTTAGCATCCATGCTATCTTGAAAAGGTTGTTTCACATTGATGGATACAGAATCTCCACTGTCAGTGCAAACAGTTAACTGACAACGATTGAAAGAACTATTGATAAAATTAATCGGTAACGATGCAGCATAACCGATTTTATCCATTATAGATGATGGCTGGTGTTCTGATTTCTTGTTAACTATTGCATCACTATTGACAACAGTACGATCTGAAGACGCCTGTTCTGAAGTATTCGACGTGGTCGAAGATCTGGAAAAGTGAGCTGCAGAAAACAATCTCAGTGGGAGATGCTCTGTAAGTTCGAAAGCCTGCACCAGGCGCCTTACAAGGAGTGATATACTTCTGGACTTGGAACGGGATAACATATTTTGAACGAATACACGTCGTCTCTCTTGAAGATACCATAATAAAGCTGTTGTTCTGTCCAATTTCACAGAAAACGTCTAGAAAAAATGAAATGAAAAAAAAAAAATTTAGGTATTTACAATATTATCTATTCTTAGTAAAACAAGTTCATAGGAATCATCTCGTATGTCAACGTTTGTTTAACTAAATAGAGAGAATTTCCAACTCATTAACTAAATAAGTAGTACACCTCTAAAGCGTCCAAGACTATACAGATAATTCACCTCATAGTATTATAATACAATAAGGAAAACTCAACATCAGGACAACTTTTTTCACTAGTCATGAATGAATGACAATTCTCAAGGTCAGTGGGAAATTACGTGCATTTTCAGTCATATCATCAATTGTCTCTTGTCTTCATTGGTTCTTAGCATCACGAGGACCCCCAACCAGCTAAACAGTCTACTCCTCCCTACGTGGATAGTTCAAATTAACTGTCAATGATTTCATGGACTGATGCCAAGTTTCGATTTGACCACCACTAGCTGTTTTCCAACATGATCATGCCTAAGTTGGCTAACAAAGATCGTTGATGAAGGCGATAGGTAGACATACTTAACACATATCCCAATCATTTCAATCGATGTAACTTCATAATCTCGTCAACTGACTTTCTGTCCTTACCTATCATCCGAAGCCTAACTTTAATACTCCTCAGCTTATTATACCAATTAACACAGGAGATTGAACGCAAGCACCTATGATAAAAGACAGCTGTCCTTTTCATGTTTTCCACTCCCAATGGCCGTGTTTCACAGCCATAACAGAAGAGTTTAGTGAAGCAAAAAGAATAAATTATTTTGTCATCCATATTTAGCGTGTTCAAAACCCCTATAAAGTATTTTTGATGTAAATGAGGAGTCCTTCATTCAAATGTCACACACACACACACTCAACCACTTGGTTTACACATTCAAGAAATTCCTCAAACATTCCAGTACGGAAAAAATGTCACAAAGTCCAAGGGTGTCATAAAATATGACTTGTACGGACTACCTCATATATCGCCAAGTGTTCCCGAGATCGATAGCTGCTACTTTGACGTGGTGGCTGGACTTGCATATCAAAATGATATCGATCAGATTCAAAGTAGTAATTGCCGGAATAATGTAAGATGTCTACATTATGTTGGAGGGTCTGTTGACGAACAGGAAAATAACAGCAGTAATGTGCCTCTTCCAGATGCCCAGCATGCCACACAGGTATGCTGTCTCTCCACTCAGGAGAGGGGGCCGTTAGAAAAGGTCGACTCCGAAAATTGTACATACCGACTTACCCCCAACAGTGGTGCGTAGTCAGTGGTGAGTTACTAATACAGAAACCACTTTAAAAACCAATTCAGACAGGTCTTAGGCAAGTATCCCGTATCCGCGGTCACACAACACTAATATTCTCTTCGTGTCTCAGCCACCTCAGGAAAAAAATCAACTTCCACAGTCTAGGCAGCCGGGAAGTAACAACCGCACATACACATACACACACACTTCTAAAAGCACATGAAGCTCTCTTCATCAACACCCACCTTTATTGTCCGGTGTTTAACTGAATTGGATTACAAAATAAGATCAAGTTGATCCCCACCCACCCCCCACTAATGAATCAAAAAAAGTATAACATACCTTGGCAAATTTACCCAAAAAAAAAAAATAAGAACAAACATTTAAACCAAGAAGTGTACACTTACATGACAATGCCAACGACCAGCATGAGCGACGGACAGACACAGCAATAGAACTTGAATCAAACCACTTGTAGTCAACTCATAGGCTGTAATTGTTTGTTCACCTTCATTTAATATAACTGATAAATGCTTAAAAGCCATGAATAACTTATTCAACGTTACATTAATTGTATTGCTAGCATTATCATTATCGTATTTATCTGCTTTAAACGCATTCCATATTTGCACAACTATTTTCTTAATTCGACTCAATCCATCTATTGGTCCAATTTTATCAATGATACTTGATGAATATTCTTCTTTCTCTAGAGACAGATTTGTCTGATGTTGTAATTTTTCTAATAATTTCTCAGATAAAGTTAACATGTACTTTCGTACAATACTAAGTCGTTCAGCTGCCATTTCTGGTCGTGAATCATCACTTCAGAAGAGGGAGGAAAAGAAGAACACAAAGTACATGAGTCAATAAATCATATTCAATAGTGAAGAATACAGGAGACAGTAAGACACCAATAACCAGAAAAAAACTTCATGCAATTCTTCCCATTAATAAACTTGAACAAAGCAAGAACAACAATTGTTCCAGGATAATATGAACTCATCTTTTATAATTTCGAAGATTCTTCTCAACTGGCTACAATCTGAACGAATAAAATAATATGAATTACATTAAAGATATGAACATACTTTCCCAGGATCATAAGAAGTAATTGGTAAGAATTAAAAGTAACATTAGTCCGGAATGATTTAACTGATTAGGAGTTACAAACACTGACTATTTATAGAATAATTAGACAATTAGGCTTGGAAACAAAAAAACAGGGTTGTGTATATATATGTGTGTATAGAAACAAGATTTAGCTAGAAATAGCATAACAAAAAAGTAGATTACGTAACTAAAGAAAACGTCTTATCTAATAACCAATAGAAAAAAGCAAAGAAAAGAAACAAAGTAGGGTGAGTCATGTTTAGATGAGAGAGTAGAGTTTTCTAAACATGAAAAAGGTGACTCATGAAAGTTGTATATTTTTTGTTATCACCAGGGCAGTGCAAGATTCACCACTGTCTCTTTGTTTGTTGATTATTTTGAACGACTTCAACAAGCAAAAGAAACCTAGCTTGTTACGCTTCGCTGAAGCAATTGCTATCAAACGACTCAAACCAAATCAATCATGTTTGTAACTCTTAAATCATTCCGGACTGATGTTACTTTTAATTCCTACCAATTACTCTTTATGATCGCGGAAAATTATGTCCATATCTTTAATGTAATTTATATTTTTTTAACGTTCAGGTTGTAACCAGTTGAGAAGAATCCTCGAAATAATAAAACATGAGTTCATATTATCCTGGTACAATTGTTGTTCTTGCTTTGTTCAGCCGGAAAAAACTCGTGCGACGATTTGTAGCGATTTGATTGGTTAAGCGTTCGGTCCCGATCTGACATCGATTAGAGAACCATTCGAAAATCTGGAGTACTGGACATCTGTTTCGTCCTAATTTAGGAGCCATCCTCAATACTGAGCCACTGTGGTTCGAACCACAGACGTTCCGATTACAAGGCGAGCTCAAAGACCATTCAATCAATCCAATAGCAGGCTATGAATTCCAACTTCCTTCAATTCTCGATATATGTAGCGCGACCAACAGCCAATGTCACAGGCGAGTAACAGTTTTCTTACATTACTCGACTGCAGCCCGCTGGTTACAACCTCTCACTGAAACTCCTGATAACTTCCTGTATAGAGCCAATAGCTAGTGAGCATAAAATTAATTATTAAATGATGGTTTACAGAGATTTAATTGGTTACAGGTTTGATGCCGAGTTAATATCAGTTAGAGAACCATTGGAAAACCAGTAGGGAGTACTGGACAGCAGGTTGTTTCGTCCTAGTTCGGGACTCGCCATCAGTACACGTATAATACTCATGTAATGAACAGAGAGGTTGAGACCTGGTACTACACAGCATGAGAGTTGTGTTCGCATCCGGGTATACAACCTCCGACAAGTGAATCAAGGATTCACATACCCCGATTTAACAGGTGAAGACTTGAAAGCTGGATAGATGCAAAGAGTTTTATACTAACAGTACAAAAGAAACAATAAAATAAACCTTAAACATAAATTTAATGACTGTAGAAGTTATGTTGAGGCGTCAAATAAATCATAAATAAAGTGACTGCTGATGACGTAACAGATAAAAATTGATTATGAACATAGATATACACCCAAAATATTTATCAAAGATGATATTGTCAAATAATAGTCAATATTTAAAAAACAGATTATCAAGACTAGATGATTAGACACAATCAGCAGGAAGCCCTGCTTGATCCAGGTTTCGAGCTTCTTACCACTCTTAGGCAATCGTGAAGGAACTCACGTCACCTCTGAGATTCGAACCAACCTAGTGCTGTAATCACAGACATTAACGCACTGTTATTCAGGCTGACGATTGCCTCTAGTCATCTAACTTCAAATTATATTCTGCACCGCATTGAAGAGTCACCTAGCATGGTGACCATACTGCTGATCGAATTCAGGCTGCAACAACCCAAGGACTCTAGACACATGGCATTGGACACATAACCCAGTGACCACCGACCAAAGATTATACATCTATGCCAATCATTGTAATGCTTCCCATAAACAACAACATCAAAATGACAGTGTATGACAGAATCCCATAGTGCTGACAGAAATACATCAATCCGAAATCCAGGACGGTGACAAACTTGTAGGACAAGAATCTTCATAATATATGGAATGAAGTAAATCAACAATTCACATTTAATATTTATTAATAACACAAGTAAAGAATTAGACAACAATGTATAAAATTGGAGAAAACTTAAAGCTGAAACCTCCATCAATTAGTCAAACGAATCAGTCTTACTATTACTCCCTTGGGTCCAAGTAGAACGTGGGGCTTCAACAAAATATCTCCATCTCGTCCTCTTCTCTGCAACCCTCTTTACTCGGCTTCACTACCGTCCATAAACCGTCATCTCATCTTCACTCGATCTCCTCCGTGTCGCTCACGGACTCTCACCCAACTCATCGTTACTTATTCAGGTTTTACTCGAACGATGGCCTGCACTGTACGCGATGTCATTCAACTGTCTTCTCAGCGTGTATCTGATTAAGTCGCATTGTATTCGTCAACATTTCGGGTGATAGGTCTTTGACTGGGTTACTGTTGCTCATCCTTTCCAACCCGCCATCCGCTCTCCAGTATGGAGCTAGTGGTGCCACCTGTTGATAAACGTTTGCAGTCATCCGTTAGAAATGCTTTTCGTGACGTGCACACCAGGTTTCCTACCCATATCAAAGAATCGAATGACTTAACATTGGTGTTAAAAATCCAAATTTTGTTCTTTATAATGAATACATTGCAGGAGACTTCGCTATAGGAGAATTAGAAAACTACTGGTTCACCAATGCAAACAAGTACAAGCACAAAAAAAACTGAGAAACACGTGTGGGAGCTTTTTAACTGAAAACTTTACGATATATATACATTTAGAAAATCAAAACAAGTGATTCAGCGAAGAAACTCTTTTCAACGAATTTATCATCAAGGTGTACAATCGTATATATATGTATGGTTTTTTTAAGAAGTTATATCCGCTGAGGGAATCGGATCATAGGTGTGAATGTATAAAATAATAATAACAGTATGAAATGCAATTAAAACTAAAATGTTTGCCACTTGCATTTGGCACACATGTAGCCCTGAAACTGTGGAGGATGAGTTAAATCTTTTGGGGAAAATCCTAACAGAGAATGGATTTCAACCACGTTTTGTAAAAAAGAATATGGATTGAAATCCTATAAAATGAGACTTACCATCCGCAACCAAGAAAATACTATACCTAAGCTTGGAATTCAAAGGGGACTTAGCTTCCGATATCATGAAAAGTACGATATCACAGTCCCTGAAAAGAACATTCCCCGGTGCATCTCTGAGAATAATCTAAACTAGTCGACCATTACTGTTCAAAAACCTGAAGGACAAGATCCCGCTGTTGACCAACTTTATGTGTGTTTATCAATTCATCTGCTTGTGTTGATCTAGGTATATCGGTCGTTCGACTCGAGTTTTGTCCAAGAGGATGCAAGAACACTATCGTGCATGGTATTTTTTTTTATTTTTGATTACAGCTTGATTCCACACTGTATTTTTGGCACAAGCATGGAATTTTCAGCATGGATATCGGTAGCCCAAATTTTGCAGGCCGACCATAGATATCAGGTGTGAGTCGGCAGGAGATCGAACCTCGGACCATGTGCATGGTTGGCGAGAGTCCTAACTACTGTGCCACCGACGCACAGGAGGTGGAAGTGGAGCAATAAGAAGCGCGATCATAGAACATCTGGTCGAAAATGATCACCCTATCTCTATAGTCTCCGCCTTTAAAGTCATTCAAAAGGAGAGAATTAATCTACCGAAATCATGACGTACACGACTTATCTGTATTGCTGAAGCCATCTTTGGCTATCGAAACAGAAAAGCCAGATCTCTGTGTACAGAAAAAGTTCGTTCAACCCCTCCAAATTTCATGGTCTTAATCCCTCTATGCTAAAGTATGGTAATCGCCAATCATATTTTAGCTCTACCAATTTTTCATTTTTCCATTTTGCCTATCTCATTTGTATTCTCTTCCTTTATTACGTCAAGTGTTCCTATTACTATTCTCACTTTGAACTGTCCCCGGTATTATTTCACTCGTCATTCTAAATCAATTCTTCTTTTTTACAACGTTAAATTCTATGCTATCGAATTTCACACAATATTACGTAACGTTTTTATTTTATTCGATTTGTTTACTAATCCTATAAGTGCACACTTTTTCAAGTTCTATCCCTCCTATGAATTATTCCATATGTGACATTAACTGTTCTGCCACTTGACATTTAATTATGATTATAATCACAAACATTTTAGTTTTTAATTGCATTTCATACTATTATTGTTATTATTATTTTATGCATTCACATCTATGATGGAATCCCCTCACTGGATCTAACTTCTTAAAAAGACCATATATATACGATTGTGCTGCTTGATGGTAAACTCGTTGAAAAAAGTTTCTTCGGTGGACCACCTGTTTTGATATATATATATATATATATATATATAAATCAATTCTTATTAAATAGTAAGTCACGGGTATAATCCCCGTTGCATTTTCATGTTATTCTGCACTTACTCTTCTGAGCGTAATAAAACAACTAATTGACCACTATTGTATGTTTCATGAACAATTTCATCAGGGAAAAATAGTTTATCAATTCTTGACAACTCCATTTTAGTTGCTGTAATCATTTCGTCGTCTTTGCTAGTGCACTTCTCATCAACATCTGTTAAAACACTGTTGTCATCGGCGCCTGCAGCTGATTCCTCCCAGAATTGTAAATAATCCACACCAACATTCAAGGGATCAGAGTTACTGATTAATGAATCAAAATCAAATATCTCTGGTATGTCTTGTGAACATATTGAAGCACTGGCAGCAGGTGTTACAGGTGTGGTGGTATTTGTCGGAGTGACAGACGGTGAATTCGAAACACTAGACAATGGGAGATCAAGTTGAGAAAACATGCTTATGAAACTTCTTGAGTGGCGTTTTGCTGACTTTAACAATTCCCTTGGACTTTTATCTACCTTGGGTATCGTTTTACTAGATTTTGAATCGTTACTAACAGACGACGAGTCTGATACTGCTGATGCACTGGCTTCTTTGCCCACCGAAGCAATACGTACGCGTTTAAAACCACTACAAGAATTCTCAGAGAGTAATAATGCTTCACTGAACAATGGTTTAGAGGCGCACAAAGACGATACTTTTGGTTTCACAGAAACGTAAGTTCCATCTTTTTGTTTTAGTAGACTACAAACCATTGAACCGAATGAAACAGAGTTAGGTGTTCGAGTATCACCAACACCAGGAGAGCTAGACGGATGGGGAGAAAGTTTTGCAGAAAACTTCGAGGTGAGACAAACACGAGCTGGTGATGAAGCTTGACGTTGGAGCTTTGATGAACCGCCGCCGCCGCCGCTGCCCACAGTGGCTGCTGTAGACGCAGCAATATGCGTAGAAACAGGGTCGTGACGTAGACCTAAACGTCTTCTGAAACGGCGAGCATTATTCCGAGAAGCCTCTAAATTATATAGACTAGAATCACCTAAAATATTTAAACGTGTTTGATATTCGGACGTTGACTGGTCGATCTGTTGTTTTTCTTCGTTTCCCGTATTTTTCTCATTTTCATTCTCTTCTTGGAATAATGGAGTAATTGTAATATTACTGTCGACAAGTTCCATTAAATGTTGGTGCATACGAAGCATTCTTGACTTCAAACCTGAGAGAAACAAATTTGAAAACACAATCGAGAACATACTATGAGGTTAATGCTAATTAAATGTGAAATACAATTTAGCATTTTTTTAACAATGTGATTGAAAATTAGTTATCAAACGATTGTTCATTATGACCACTCTACAGGTAAAAACTATTGTGGAACCATTCAGTTAAATCTTAACCACAGTTCATATGCACTATAGATATTTACTATTATTGTTCATTTAGGCTCCAAGTTGAACATAGGGTTTCGGCATAAAATTTCCAATTTGTTCTGTTCTCTCCATCATCTTCAAATGATCTCACGACTGCCTATAATCTCTCATCTCCTCGTCATATGATCATTTCAATGTCCCCCTCAGAAACACGTCCCATTTAGGTCCCACTCGAACGACAGCCTGGTGTGCATCGTCACCCGATGGCCTACCCATTAAGTGTTTGTCCGATCCATCTCCACTTTCACAGAAATATTTGTTGACCAATAGGTTTTTCCTCAATGTTTCTCGTTGTAAATCATTTCCGGCCAGTGATCTGATCTTCAGTATGGAACTAGCGGAGGCAGTTGTTGATAAATGTCTGCAACCTGTGAGAAATGCTTTTCGTGACGCTCATGCCAAGTTTATATAAGTCAGTAGCCCAGCATAGGATGCTCGCCAACCACGTCATATGTGGTTCGGGGTTCGATCCCCAGCCGGCGCACTCCTTTACCTCGATAAGCCGGTAATAAGTCCGATAGAGAGGGAAAGGTTGGGTATGGAGATAGTAACCCCATCCCGTAAAAATGAATACCAATGGCTACCGAAACTTCAAAGCTCTAGCTTGAGGCCCTATGTTCCACTGGGAACTCAAAATAATAGAAACAATACTATTTTCTACTGTATATTTTTGTACTGATGTCAAACATAAACCCTAAAGTAAACTAACTACTTAAAAGAATGAGAGTAGTAAACATTTCTCATTTGTACTTTGAGATTAAATTAAACACGCTAAGAGTAGTATTACTGTAACAGTATATCCATGTACAAAAGGTGTTTGTCAATAGAAAATAGCCGTTCATAAGGAGTATTTTAAGTAGGTAGAAAAAGTTAAGGGAGATTATAATGCAGAGATTCAGAGATTGAATTGTTACCATCAGGGAATAATCTAGTTGACATAGAATATGCAGATGATATAGTCCTTTTAGGTAAAAACGCTGACAAAGTAAAGCAGAGTCTCCTGAACACCTTGAGCTACAATCTGCGAATGTTTGGCATGGGATTTGTGCACTCTTGCTGTCAAGTGTAAGATGATATTAGAGGACTAGACTACACTGACTCCTAGCCTAGAAATAGGGAGTGAAGTGGTGGCTGGGCATGTTCAACACCTCACTTATTTGGGACGTACAAGCAGCCAGCGCTAAAGTGTTGATCTCTGATGAAATCTCAGCATGGATACAAGGGGCTCGTTTCGCATTTGCCAATTATCCGGCTGGCTATCGAACAAAGGGCGGGTGTACTGCTCATCACTCCGCTCCGTCTTCCTTTATGGCTGTGAGCGAGACCTGGCCATTGAGAGTGAAAGACATGAAAAGATTAGCTGTCTTTGATCACAGGTGCCTGCACTCAATCTCCCGTGTGAAGTGGTATAATAGGGTGAGCAATATTGAGGTTAGACGTCGAGTTCCAGGTAAGGAGGGCAAAATCAATTGACAAGACTGTGAAATTACATCCACTGAGATGGTTAGGACATGTGTTACGTATGCCTAGCCATCGCCTTCCTCGGCCGACGGGCGATGTTAGCTGATACAGGGTCAGGTTGGAAAAGAGCTTACGGCGGTCAAACCAAAAGATGGCACAAGTCAATGAAATCCACAACAGTTAGTTTAAGCCAACCAGCCACGCAGGAAGGTGTAGACTACCTGACTGGTTGGGGTCATCGGGACGGCAAAAACAATGGCTGGATACAATCGGTGATATGGCTCAAACTCATCGTTCTCAATGGTTGGTGCAGATGCATCCACTCCTTGTGACTTATAATACCCAATGAAACTATAGTGCTCTTCGTTATTATTATTATTCCTTTTGCCTCATATTTCTATTTACTATCTCTATTTTACATTTCTTTTTACTTTCTTCTCTTGTTTTGTGTGCTAAATGGATGGAGTGTGGAGACTTGAACTGCCGCACATCCGTGCAAACTTCTACGTTGAAAACAGAGACACAAAAATTCAGAACATATTATCATGAAGAGTTGATAATTCTGGAAAATAAAAAGTCAATTGACTGACTGACTGGTTTCAAAATGGAACTTTGCACAAAAGTGCCACACTCCATGTACGATACAAAGGAAGACAAAGCAAGCGATTGAAAAGGATGATGATAAGGAGAAATAGGATGGAAAAAGGAGAGAAAAATGGGGAGACAATATGTTTTAATGGATATGGGAGATCACAAAGGTTGAATGCATCTACACCCAATAACAACGATTTCGAGCCAGATTGTCAACTGTCTCCAACCATTGGTTCTCAAAATTCCGAGGACCCTCACCAGACAAGCAGTCTACACCTCCCTACATGACTGGCTCAAATTAACTCTGTTATATATTCCGTGGGCTGATTCCATGTTTTGGTTTGATCACCACGTGCTAGCTCTTTTCCAGCCTCATCCTATCTCAGCCAAAACTGACCGTCGAGGAAGGCAATGGATAGGCGTACATAACACATATCCTTGTAATATCAGTCCATGTAGCTTCACAACTTTATCGTTTGACTTTTCCACCTTACCTAAGACTCTACACTTAACACGAATATTACTCAAGAGAGAGACAAAGTGAATTATCTACTCACTGAGTCACTTATATTTATAGTGAGCTGAGTGTATTACAAACATCAAAATGTCGTGAATCAATATATATAATTCCCAAAGTATCTAAAGTACTGACTGAGACAGATAATAACATCAGATGAGACTTGTCCTAATCCTAACGACAACTTAAGTGGAGAGGAACGGAGAAAAATATCCCACACACTCTCGAACCTAGGTCTGCTTAAAAAAAGGGAAATATGCTACACCACAGAAGCAGATATTCACTCCAAAAAACTGATAAGAAGCTACAATCGATGTCGACATTTTAAGCCACGAAGTGCCCTACTAAACGACTTCATTTAAAAATTACACATAAGCTAGATGGTTGGAGGCAATTTTCAAGAAACCTTGCACTTAGGTTTCGTGCTTGTTGAGACACGTCAGCAAGGTGTATCTGCAACCCTGAAGGAAATCATGACCCTTCTGAGATTCGAACCCATGTCACCCAGTGCTGCAGTCGGAGACGTTACCACTGAGCTGTTCAGGCCTATGAATAACCTCCTGTAGAACTCTGTTGGATATTTTTGATTGGACGCTAGTCAGTAACTAGTGTGATGTGTCTAGTCTTTTGTTTGGTGTGAATTGTTGGTATTAGATGGTTGGAGGCAGTCGGCATGAAGGTGATAAGATAGGATAGGACTAGAAAAATTACACTAGTTACTGACTAGTATCCATTCAGACATGATTATCATTTAGGCCTACACACCAATCACAGTCACCTTTCCCTATATTCAATGTATTTGCCTAAATAACTACATATGAATCGGTATGCACAGTTTCATGTGATGAAGACAGTTGACTAGCTTGTCGTTTTTATTTTTATAAACACCGGTAGCGAGTTCACACGGAGACATTTTACAGTCTACCATAGGCAATTTCTGTCATTTTACACATATCATACAAACATAGTAGTCTGTCGGTTGAAAAAGCTGAAGAGAATATTAGAATATCGAATTTAGTCAAGCATTCAAATCAAAACAATCATTACACTCAAATAATTCTGGCTATTTCTCTTCGCAAAAACCGTTGCTTTCATAAGATGGTACACTAATCTCTGTATATAGAAAGATACTGTGATTGATCTAGCACTAGCCTAGTAAAAATCACGTCTTTAATATGTTTCTGTGTTTTTCGTTGAGTCACAAATTTTTGTGTGATTACAATTCATTGAGCTGAACTCATTATTATTCATCCAATTTACCTAATTTTATGTTTACGCGGATGATTTATGTTTCATTTCACACAAAATCGAAAACTTACAAGCGAAAACCGACAAACTGGTCGAAGAAGCAGTCGGCGAAGACAGGACTCCAGGTGAACATAGACAAGACGGAGGTTATGAAAATAACCAACCAACAACAACAGCACCAACATCCGGAGCCAATCACCATCAATGGGAAGGATTTAAAAGAGGTTACTTCATTCACTTATCTAGGGACCACTGTCTCAACTACAGGAAGTCGGAACGGACGAGGATGTCACATCGAGCGAGAATCGGGAAGGCGAGAAACATATCATCATCATCATCAACCTGAAACCAATCTGGAAATCTTCATCATTCAGACAGCATCAAGAACAAAATTCGGTCGGATTTTCAAAACAAACATCAAGTCAGTCAGTTCTTCTATACGGATTAGAAACTTGGCAGGTGAGTCACAAAGAATATTTCCAACATTATGGGTAAATTTTGTTTTGATAAAGTCTCACAGTGTTATACAGTAATGTTTACTGATGACGTTTCGAGCACAATTTATTGCTCATAATCATATCAAGGTAATCACACGACTTCCTAAATTCATTTATATAGTTCCATTGTTTTTCTCTTGATTTTCACTTGATTTGATTGGTAATAGTATTTTCCATATTTCAGGTATGAGTGAGGAGTCATTCCTATTGCATGTGTTTGGTGTAGATTCGATGAACAAGGATTCAGTAATCAACCTCTCTCTCCGCATGCATTGCAATTGCTGAGCTTTTTTCTAAATTATTTATCTTCTCGGGGTCAACCATTCTTACCTTAGCTAAATTTTTATGCTCTGACAATCTGACTACCCCTGACCTACTAGTTTGACCTATGTAGTTGACCTCACAGTCATTGCAGGGTATTTTGCAAATTATATTATTTTGTCTAATTGGGTCAACTGAGTCCTTTAACCTA